ATTGTGCTATCGCAGTATTTTTTTTAAAGAAAATATTAGAACGATGATACAATTTAAAATTGAGTTTTGGTAAAATATAACCTTAATATATACTTTATTAACCATAATATAAACTAGCTTTGATGCTCTGGCAGCCAGCGTCCATTCCCAGTTATCAAGTTCAAATATCTTAGAGTTATATTTTGATATGGAATTAAAATACGCGTCAAAAAAGAAACAAAGAACTAACTGAAAATTTTCAACTTGCTCTCGAAAAAATTTCTTAATTTCGACTAGTGGCCCTTTTTGTTTATAAGTAGCGATATATCAAACAAAGTAACTTAAGTGTTAGGTTTATGGACTTATTAATTTAACCTGGATATTTTATTTTGAAAAAAAAAAATCAATATGTGCTGTAAGTTAGTTGGAACGAAATAACATTAAATGGAACAGTGGAACTTAACTTAAGGCAATTTATAGATAATGAGACTATATTTTAATTAAGCTTTATTTCACATCTTAAATTTAATTAATGTTACAGTGAGATGTTTAAATCGAACATCATCAAAAAAAATGTTTTATTATTAAATCAGTAGATGTGTTGATTCTTGATGTAAATTTTTACTTAAGTGTGGCTGTTTGAGCTATAGATCCCTTGACTTTAATTTAAAAAACAAAAAATACTGCGAAAATGCAAAATTAAAAAAATATATGGAGGGCTGTATCATAGACATAAAAGAAGAAACAAGAGGGACAAATGAACAAAAAAAATATATGAGTTTATTGAAATCGATCTATAATCGATTTCTGTCGATATCATTATATCATTATCCAACACCAACATATCTATACTTTTTTTTTAGTTCTTAAGTAACTCGATAAAAATCTTGTTTGTAAAAACCTCATCTAAATATTTTAGTTTCAATACTTTTTATCATTTTGTTTAAAAGGTTGCCTCTTTGTATGTATGTATCAGCTATTAAAGAATCATGTCTACCTTACAGACATTGATTGACCTGTCATATGTATTTTTTTAAAGGTCGTGTCTGCCAGTAGTTATGATTTCAATTAGTTTTTTTCTGAAAATATAATAATATCTTAGCACTTTTTCATCTGGAGGCCAGGAAGATTTGTTACTTGTAAAGAATATTTCGCGGTTATAACAGATGTCAAAACTTAAAAAACTAATACATTATTATCAAAGACTTTTATAGTTTAACTCTTAAATATGAAATTAAACCTAAATGTCGTTGTAAATGTGCACTTTTTACCTTATGACGAAAGAATATTTTTCCGTAGAAGATGAAACGAAACGTACCAGCCATATTAGGTCCGAATCGCATTAGAATAGAATAGAATAGAATAATTCTTTATTGTACAAAAACACCAATTATAGGTAACAATAATATAAAACAAATAGTACAATCGGCGGCCTTATCGCTAAGAAGCAATTTCTTCCAGGCAATCGTTACCATTTGGAAAATTTTAATTTAAATCTAAATTAGGTAATCTATGGTGTCATAAATGTACATGATATAAACATACATACGAGTACATAATTATCATACATACTATAGTTATAAATATCATACTAGTAAAGGAGCACTATCTGTCATTATGAACTTTTACATTATATCCAGTTATAGTATGTATGATATTTATAACACACCAATGCATTTCACAAAATTTCTTGACAAATCTTTTATAGTTCAAGCTGCCCGTCTCTGGAAAATATAAGACGTGCGCAAAAGGTAGACTTTTGAAACTATAAAAGATTTGTCAAGAAATTTTGTGAAATGCATTGGTGTCTCCAATTTTAAGTTCTCCGAAGATCTTAAAACTCGAGTGTGGGTATTATGAAGGAAATTAAAACGTTCTTTAAGATAAAATGGCGAAAGTGGATTAAACAAAACACTGCAAAGAAGGTAAACGATAAGTGCATTCCGGCGAAGACGAATCGGAAGCCACTTGAGTTTTGCACGGAAATCGGATACATGATCATATTATCGTAAACCAAATATGAATATGATACAGAAGTTTTGTAACCGCTCAAGTTTGTTAAGTTGCTCCTCAGTAAGGTCAAGATAGCTAACGTCTGCGTAATCTAAAATGGGGAGAAGGAGAGCTTGTGCTAGCGCAGTTTTAGTGGCGAGAGGGAGGAAATTGCGCAGTCTTCTTATGGACCCAGCCGCAGCAAACATCTTACGGCTCACTTCCTGGATTTGGGGACCCCAAGTGAAATTTTTGTCAATTAGCACACCCAAATTCCTAACACAGTTACTAGGAGTTAATGTGATACCGTCAAATGTAATCAAAGGTACTTGAGACCAGTCGATTTTATTAATCATTGTAGAATTGCCAACAATAATGATTTGAGTCTTGGATGGATTTATTATTAAACCATATGATTTACTCCAATTTGAAATTCGATTCAGATCATCATTCACATTAGTAATTAGTTGATGAAGATCGATTAGTCGTGCTTGGGAGTAAATTTGCAAATCATCTGCATAAAGGTGGTAGGACGAAATAAGTTGACTGGAAATAGAATTGATAAAAATAGCGAAAAGTAATGGAAATAAAACACCACCCTGTGGCACCCCAGCAGATATATCGCACCAAGCTGAAAAAGAATTGTCAATGCGAATTCGCTGTCGGCGACCAAACAGGTAACTATGAAACCAATCAATTACCGCTGGAGATATGTTAATAGAGCGCAGTATGCCAAGCAGAATATCATAATCTACAGTGTTGAATGCATTGCTGAAGTCAAGCAAGGATAGGATCGTAACCTTTCCATTTTCCATTCCTGTCCTTATGTCGTCTGTGACTTTGACCAATGCCGTTGTTGTACTGTGCCCAGCAACCCTGACTGGTATGGATTAATGAAGCGATTCTTGAGAAGGACAGTCGATAATTGGTTATGGACAAGGCGCTCTAATACTTTAGATAAAAAGGGTAGGATTGCTATGGGTCTATAGTCGGAAGAGGATGATGGTTTGGATTTTTTGGGTAATGGGATGACTTGAGCATCTTTCCACGCAGATGGAAAGACCCCAGTCCTTATAGAGTAATTAAAGATGTGTGTGTACCATAGTACTATTTACAAATAATTATCAATATCAAAATATTTATCGTGATTATATTTTAAGATTTTACATCCTGATATGAAATAAGTACAAAATAAGCTACATTTTGAGATAATATATCACATCACTAGACGTTAGTAAATTTTTAGGTCAAAATTGGACATGATATTTTATGTATGTACAGCAGCTTGGACTACCTACTTACCCGAGCCTGTGCCTACTTCATGTAATGGTGGCTTGGCTTGTAATATTAAAAAAAAGGTGTTTAGACTGCGCGTTCATAGCCACAATGGGAAAATGTGGTATTGTCACTTTTACGAGGGTCAAACTGAAAGTTCTTAGAAAATCAAAAACTGATTACATTAGCCAGTTATTAGTTTTATTATATCTTTTCAAAATATTGTCCATTCACGTCAATACACCGCTGCATGCGATGGAACCACTGGGAAAAGCACTTTGCCCACTCGTCCTTAGGGGTCTCTTCAATGGCATCGCGATACGCAGCCACCGCTTCTTCAGCATTCATAAACCGCTTTCCTTTAAGTTTTTCTTTAATTTTTGGAAATAAATAAAAATCACAAGGCGCGAGGTCGGGGCTATACGGCGGGTGACCCAGTAATTCAACGTTTGATGTCGCCAAATAGTCGATCGTTCGCTTGGCGGTGTGCGACGAGGCGTTGTCGTGGTGAAGGAGGATCCTACTGCGAGGTCGTTTCTCTCGAACTTTTTCCAAGACAAGTGGCAAACAATTGGTAGTGTACCATTCTGCAGAAACTGTTTTTTGATCCTCTAACACAATTGTTGCAAAATGACCTATCCTTCCAAAGAACGAGGCCACCATTTTTTTTCCCGCACTTCGATCTCTCTTCACTTTAGTTGGCAACTCCTCGAAAGGAAACACCCACTGAGCAGATTGTCTTTTGGTTTTAGGATCATAACAGTAAATCCAGCTTTCGTCACCTGTTAGTATGTCGAACTCAGCATTTGAGTCACCTCCGTTAAATCTTTCAATCATTTTACGACACCAATCCACACGATGGAGTTTTGAGCCTCAGTCAAATTATGAGGTATCCACCGGGCGCAAAGCTTCCTGACCGCTAAATGTTCGTGGAGGATTTTGTGCACTTGACTCATACCGATGCCTAAGCTTGTCCGAATCTGTTGATAGGTCACTCTTTTGTCAGTCTCTATCATACGCCGCACAACACAGATGTTATCTTCAGTCGTCGCCGTAGAAGGCCGTCCCTCACGTAAATCATCAGTGAGATTAGTGCGACCACGTTTAAACTCATTAAACCACTTGTAAACAGTCGCACGAGATGGGGCTTCATCGTGAAAGGCCAATCGTAGTCTATCATAACTTTCTTGTTGACTTAAATGACATCGAAAGTCATAAAAAATCATTGCACGAAAATTTTCTCGTGTTAAATTCATGATGACGTGACACAGACAATTTTCAATTTGCCGCCAAATCGTAAAACAAATGACAAATGAATGAAATATATACTCAGTAATATTGGCAAAGAGTTATATTTTCAAATTTTAGAATTATTTTTTTATTATATTGTTTATAAGTGGCCAGTTCTAAGAACTTTCAGTTTGACCCTCGTATTACACGGTATTGTGTTAACTGTAAGGGGTTAGATTTGATATATGTAACACATTGCTATGAATTAAATAAAGCACAAATAATATTATTAAAAAGAAGATTTGGGAAATTTATAGTAATAATAATAAGTTGCTGTTTGACTTTTCAAAAAATGTCTCTCATATTACATGAAGATCAGCCACTGGATTTTTTTAGACAACATACATTCATTTCGATTTTCAAACTTTATTTGAAATGTTGGCATTTTTCGATATCGATTTTTCTATTAACGCTTATCCCTAATAATTGACAGTGACATTGACGCACGTCACAAACGAATTTTTGTTATCAGAAATTCTTTTATTTGAAAGTTGTTAAATATGTTATTTAATGCTTGTTTTCACAAGAAAAAAATCTTGAGATAGTATTTGTGATGATGATTAAATATTCATTTTACATTTGAGACATGAAAATAATATTTTAAACTAACCTAGTTCCGAAGACTTCTATGTATGTTTATTTGTTCTATGTGAATTAAATGGTGTTTATATAATTGTGTATAATTAATAATAAAAATTAAGAGGAATAAAGTATTTGTAACGGAACAATTTATAAAAATACAATATCTTTTAATTTCTGACACCATGGAGGCAAAATTAATGGAAGTGAAAAAGATTGGAACTGATAAATATGAAGAAGTTAAAGTCCCGTTTAATTTAAATCAACATATAACACCGATCTGCAATTTGGAGAAATTATGTCGAACATGCTTATTACCCGCTGAAATGACTGTTTCGATATTGTCAAGTGTGGAGGAAGAGAGTGAAATACGACTCTTAGATATGTTAAAAGCTTTCACTTCTATACGAGTAAGTTATAATCAGTACCTAAATATTAACTTTTATATGATAGGCTGAATCTGCTAACCACTACAGCATTGAACGGCTGTGCAGTGGAGACATTAAATATTGCACTCCAAACATTGAAGAAAAACATAAATTCTCAATTATTGTTTTAGGATGTATCAGAAAGGGGCATGCCAACTCAAATCTGTATGATGTGCCGCAATGAACTTATTAAATGTCACAATTTTAAAGTTAAATGTGAGAAATCTCAGCACACTTTACAGTTTCTGTTGAAAAGGCATTTTATACAGAAGTATACTAATAATGAGAGTGATCCACAAATAAAGTAGGTGTGGTGTAACTTGTATTTGTAATTATTTGTGAAAAATCAAAATTTATATTAAATAAAGATATTCTTTAATTTTAGGAACCCCAAAACTGATAATGACAATTTAAATATTCAAGATGATGACAAAATAGAAGTCTTAAAAGAAGGTGAGAATGATTAATAACATTTATATGTGTAATTGGGGTTTTAAGGTTCAGTATTTATATTTGAAACTTTTTTCTAATTCCATATTCCTTCTTTGCTAATATAATAATCTATAGATTATTATAGATTGGATAGGGTGATATGAAATTCCACTTTTTCTATCTGAGGATAATATAATTAATTGTTATACCAAACTTTCTATAATTATATATTAACATTTTTTGTATGAGGTTTGTGTAGTGCTACTTTTATCAATTTGTGTCTAATATACACAACATACAAAACATATGTTATTAAATAACTATTCCATTTCTTCCAGAAATGAAAATTGAATATCAGGGAATTTTTGATGATATTGAGAGTGATGATGAGGCTCTTTGCATTGTACAAGAACAATATGATGAAGAAGAGTAAGAATATTTTTTATTTTTAATGTTTACATCACTTATTTAGAGTATAATAATTTATTTATTATGTGAATGCTAGAAAGCAAACACAACAATCCACAAAACCAAGATTTAAAAACTCTTTTTTCTGTAATACAGTTATATTATGAGTTCAAATTAATTAATATTACGTCCATTGATTTTTCAGGGATGAAAGAAAAGTAGATTTTAAAGGTAGGTTTGGGTAATTTACCTCTTACGTTTTAATAAATTTTTATGATAAAATACTTGGTTGGTTAGAAAATAATTTCCTTCTGTTATAGAATCGGATTTGTTACTGAAAGAAATATCTACCACAAATAGAACAAAGACAAGTGAAACACAGAAAAGTATACAAATATTTACGTTGAATAAATGTGTTAATAAGGTTAGCTATCTCCAATGAGGTTAAATTGATTTTTTTTTTATTTTAATTCCATATTATCTACATCCTTATTAGTTCAATTGTGGAATTAAGAAACTATATATATGTATATTTTTACTTTTAATTTTTTTTTTAAATTTAGTCATAGAATTTCTGAAATGTTTTTGTTTTAGAGATTGAAAAAAGGCAAAAAAAGTAAAAGCATTTTGAAAAAACAGGAGCAAACTATAGAAAGGGACTCATATCCATGTGTACAATGCAAAGAGGTCTTCAGTTCTGAACATGATCACCAATTACATATGTCTGTACATAATACAGTGGGACCAGTGTGGAAATGCAAAACATGTTTAAAAGAGTTTGGATGTAAGTAGTTTTTACTCACAATACAAATTACTAATTTTTAGTTATCATCCTTGTGAAATAATAAAGACTGAACAGAATTAACTCTTTTGCATATTTTTTCAATTATTTTTCACTCATGCTGTCTTTGGAGTTGTAACGCATCTCGTGTAGGAAGAGAAATATGTATAATAGTAGGTAATGCACATTATATAGCAAATTTCGCAACGAGATTGACCCCCACTATTTTATAATAAGATAAATAATAAAAAAAAAACTAATCTAACCTACTGTACTTAGCAAGTCACATTATTTAAAAAATTATTTGTAAAATAACTAGCTTTCTGCCAGCGGCTTCGCCCGCGTGGTGTTGTATTATACATAAAAAGCTTCCTTTTAATCACCCTATCTATGAATCAAAATCTGTTGCATAGTTTTCAAGATTTAAGCATACATAAAAATATAGGGACAGAGAAAGCGACTTTGTTTTATACTATGTGGTGAAAAGTAGTCGACTAGCCTATTCTGTTAGATACTTTAAGTGATACAGATGGATAACTTTCAGAGATTTAAGTTTTCCAAACGGTAATGGTTGCCTGGAAGAAATTGCTTCTTAGCGATAAGGCCGCCGATTATACTATTTGTTCTATATTATTGTTACCCAAGATTGGTGTTTATGTACAATAAAGAATTATTCTATTCTAACTTTCAGCCAGAGCACAGCTGCGGCGTCACATACACCGACATATGGAGTGGAAGAAGTTCAAATGTTCAGTCTGTGAGAAGACTTTTGCTGAATTTTATTCGCTGCGACGACACAGCCGCGTACACACTGGCGAAACGGTGGAGAAGAAACACGTTTGTGACGTATGCAGTAAAAGGTATAATATTATTTATTTGCATTTGAAACATCATGAACATAACAATACATAACTGTTTGATTTGTTTTTATAGGTGTATTCAAGTATTTTTAAATTATTTTGATCTATCTGATTAGATCAGAAAAGAAATAGGCAGAAACCTTTGTTATTTTATGGTATTAAGATGATGCATGAAAATATTATGGATTTATTTGTCTCCAATAACATAGGAAACTTTTTTTTACCTTAACACATTTATGAATAATCATAGTCAATCTAATATGAACATGTTATAAATCAGGTTTTGCACCTTCACTGTGTTGGTAGTACATTTTATATTGGACTAGTACCGTCAGCGGCATCGCCCGCGTGGTACCTAAGGAACTGTTTATTTGGATATCGTTTCGTTAACGTTTAAATTCCCTAATTTCCCTTTTTTTTTCGGGATAAAACACCTGTAGCCTACGTTCACCGAATATGATGAAGCCTCCCATAGGTGATAGAATTTTTAAAATCGGTCCAATAGTTACGGACCCTATTCGTTGCAAACAAACAATCAATCAAACCTTTCCTCATATATAATATTGGTAGACATGTTTATGCCTACCAATATTATATCAATATTTTGCAGTTTTAAAATCGTCATCAAAAATCAAAATCAATTGAAAAATTACAAGCAAATGTATTCATGTTGCTATATAATTTTAATAATGTGTTTATTACATAAAAAAAACATTTTTTATTTATTATATTCAGGTTTAGTGACGGTAGCCAACTGTCCGCCCATATGTCACAGCACACGAGCGTGCGTCCGTTTGTATGCGCGATCTGCGGTAAGACGTTCGCGTCCGCAAGACTGCTGAACTCGCACAGATTGGTCCACTCGGACCACAAACCTTACGCCTGCAACTACTGTGACAAGCGGTAAGAATCACGCGGAGTCAATTTCACGATGGCGCATACTAAATATACTATTTTTAAGCTTATCATGTTTGTTGCTCTATAGTAAAAAGAAGACTTTGGACTTGTCAGGGCTTGGAAACCGGTTTATTTTTTAAACCGGTTCGACGTAAGTACATGCGGAACTTTACATAAAAGGTTAAGCTCCTTTGAACACGTTTTTAAACCGGTTCACTAGAAATACGGTTTTCTTCATTAACCGGTTTAAATATGACTCCAGACAATGATCTCACAAACTTCAGCGCGGTTTTTAAGTGCCTATACTCATATCTATAACATCCGTATACAGGTGTGATAAATGTCGTTACACCACGAAGTTACAGTAAGCTAGCTTTCCTCAGTGGCTTCGCCGCGTGGTCTCTAGAGAAATTTTTAGTGGAATAAAAAGTATCCTATTATATAAGTCAGCTATTATCCTATCTGTACACCAAATTTCATCAAAATCCGTTCAGTAATTTCGGCGTGATTGACGGAGAAACATCCGAACAAAGAAAATGCGGAATATATAAGTAGTAATTTTGTGTACCTAATAAACTAATGAGGTAACGCGTCATTAAAAAAATACAACTTAGATTTTTTTTTAAATTAATATTTCTCGTTGTTTGCTGAAGGTTTCGTCATGATTCGACGCGTAACACTCACCACCGCACTCATACCGGCGAGAAGCCTTATGTGTGCGCGACGTGCGGCAAAACCTTCATACAGAACTCTAACTTGCGCCTGCACATGAGGACACATACAGGTAGATATTAAGTCCACAGGTATTGTTAGTTAACTGGTCAGTCTATTTAATAGTGTTCAATATCTTGTTCGTCTGTAGGTATTTACGCAAAGAAATCTTGATTTTATTAATTTGACTCTCCAGGTCATCGTGTAATCCTTTTTTATTATTATTTTTTCTTATATAGCGGTGATAAATGGCTGCAGTAAATACTTTGAGATAAGTATGAAATATGTGGCGCTGCTGGACTGACGGCAGTCTGACAGCGCCAAGCTAAATCTTATAAACTAGCATTTTAGGAGCTTATTCCTCAAACTGTTATTAATAAGAGGACACATTTTTTTAATGAATTCCTCTTTAATAAAAATAAATCCAATTTCTGACCTATATATTATCATTATCATTATCAGCCTATTGATATGCCCACTGCAGGCCTTTCCTATGAAAGTAATCAAATAAAGAGATTGGGGTATATACCATCACCGGGTGCCGATTGGTGGGTGGTAATTACTGCAGCCCGCTTTACGTCACCCATTCTGTACCCGGCTCTACCAAAAGATTTTAATCGCCATATACAGGGTGTCACCTTTAGAACAGTCAGTATGGGAAAGTCTGAAACCATAAGACAATGATAAGCAGCCTTACCTTTGAACGCAATATTAATGTTAATTTCAATCCAATCCAATAACGATCTAAATTTTTATCAAAAGCTTAGCACGTACTCTTGAACATAGACTCGATAGTTACTCAATGTCAATTAGTTTATATATTTTTTCTGATAATATTTAATATACTAATACCGATAATTACAATTTTATGTTTATTATATTTATAATTATTATATAATATCGCTTAAACTAATTATGAAAAAGCAAGTATTATATGCTTGTTATCACGTGACCGCAAACAGCGCGTTACGTTACGCCCTTCTATAACATATACATATAACGATATTCATTTCAGAGTGCCGTGCCTTCACAGCGACGCCATGGCAGAAGTGACGTTTCCGCGGGAAATTTTGAAAAATAAAATGTACTCATAATATTCTTAATGAAAAATGCATAAAAAATCCTCTTTGGCCCTGGCACTGAGATGGGACTCAAACCCATAACCTTTCGCAATCTAGACAACTATTCTAACCACTAAACAAAGCTAAACTAAACCAGGTTCAATTCTCGGAACTTACATTATTTTTATCAGATACGGATTGTGTAATAAGCAGTTAATATTATTATGAAACGTGATAAAATTAATTCTTATACATAACCTTCCTAAGAACAGATCTTTGTATGTCTTATAGTTTCATACTATCCCATACTGACCCATCCTAAATGTTAGTCCTGCATAAAAAAAAAATTTTAGAACCTGGCATATCAATTCTATATTTTAGGTGAACGTCCTTATTCTTGTGACAAGTGTGACAAGAAGTTCTCATCGGGGTCCTCTTTGAAACTTCATATGCGCACTCATAGCGGAGAGAAGCCATACAGTTGCACAATATGTGGAAAAAGGTAATTATATCGTAGAAACATCTGTCCTATAATAGTGCTACAAAATCAGCTTCAAACTCGATGTCGAGCTCACGATCACAGCCCTGTTCATACACATCATAATGATTCAATAAATAAAACCTCAAAAAGTAATAAGGTTGTATTTCATTGAACCTCTATGCTGTGGCAGCGCTGTTGAAATGTGTCTATTGGTCGATTTACATGTAATCAAATAGATAAGTAGTAAGTAAATTCTAATTTTAAATTCAATTAAGCTCATAAGTAGTTACCAAAATTTTACTTTTTGTTTACACCAATAAAATAAAGTTAAAAGTCTACTTAATACTTATCCACTTAATAACGTGTAAATCAGCCATATTATTATTGTGAATTATACATTTACAAAAAAGTATTTTCACAATATTTACCTAGACAAAGCCATGTCAAGCCAAATGAAGATCTTGATTTGTCAGGCTGTTTAACTGTCAGGATTGGACAGATCAATCAGGCCAGTAGAGCCGCAGACCGATATATTAGTATTATATTATAGTACTAGTAGCCTTTGGTCTTATCAGTTGAATAAATCCAAATTTGATCGACAGATTTGCACGCATGGATTTAAGTGCGCATATGCGGAAGCATACTGGTGAGCGGCCCCATGCATGCAGCGTTTGCTCCAAGAAGTTCGTGAATGCTACACGACTGCGTGATCATTGCCGAATACACACGGGTATGACGAACTATTCTCGACTCTATCATTAAGACTTTAAAATTTAAAATAGTTGTTGTTTAAACTTTAATGGTCTGTATATAAAAATAATTGTATTATTATTACGAATATTTATCGAATTCCCGATATTTCGGCTCTTATTATTCAAGTAACTCAAGTTTTGCTGATGGATGTTACTAGCAGATATATAGATCTACCCTCTTTTGAGACTCGAAGCATTGTCATGGCGCTAGCAACAGCACCGAAATATCGGGAACTCTACAAATAATAGGTATATTAGCAATTACGTAGAAAACTATCATTCTAATGTAAATATAAGCCTATTAACTATTTTTAGGAGAAAAACCATTCGAGTGTGCTACTTGCACATTAACGTTTCCAACAAAATCTCATCTAGTTAGACATGTGAAGAAACACCAGTCAAAGTTGAAACCAGAGAAAAATATGAGGCAGTATTTCATCGTACCACATATAGAACCACTACAATATATTATACAATCAGAAGTTGAATCAAAAACCAAACCCGATGATGATTCAAATATCAACGATGAAACAATGCAGGAATGTAATCAAACCAATGATGATATCACACTGGAGGTGGTGCATGATATGCCATTAGAAGTTACCGGAGAATTAGTAGTAAAAGATGAAGATGTCCTAATTGTAGATAATATTCAAAACCAAAGTGGTAATATATATATAACCAGAGAACCCATTAGCCAATGTGGTAGTTTCGATAGTAATGTCAATTTAATAACAGTGAATGATGGTGAAGTCAACGTATTGAATACAAATCCTCTACTTGAAGGGTCTACGATGAATCTATACCAAGTCGATCAGACAGATCCCATTTCAAATACATAGATCTAAGATTTCTAGTCCAAATATAATTAACAACATTATATAAATTATATCTATTATTTATTCTGAAATGGTAAAATAATGTTGTTTGTGAATAAATGGCTTCGATTGATCAATTAGACTATATATGTATGTATATGAGTACATATAATGTGTATGTATACAAGTATTTACAATATGTATGTATATAATAATGAAGTAGATATACTTATATTCATTTTCTTCCTATACAGTATATATGTACATCATCCACTACTTCATTATTATTAACGCATTTATGATTTAACTCCATCATTTGTCGTCTAGGCTAGGTATCATAAGGCCGCCATTTGTATGTCTCCTCTACAATTGAAATTATAAGTGTTATGTGTGTGTACAATAAAGTATATTCTATTCTATAATTAATTAAAACTCTAAAAGCAACGATGTTTATTTTATATTATGTAACAGAAAATACTTTGAAGCTATAACTAAACTTAAATAAATGCACCTAATTCTAAAACCATGAACTATTCTTTGCAGCAGCATATTTTTGTATGTTGACAAGCATGGAATTGTGAATCTCTTGAGCATTTCTATTTTGACCATAATAATCAACAAATTCGCCATCTGGATTTACTAAATAAATTATTATTGTATGGTCCACCTGAAATCAATTTTTTTATAAAAATAAATAAGTATGAGCAATAATCAACCCAGTGTAATAAACAACATTGACTTATATATGTCGCAGGCATTTTGTACAAAACCGCCGTTTACATACGGCGTCGTCAATTTAGAAACGCTCGCTATTATGTAATATGCCGAAGGAAAAATGTATATTGCCGATTCATTATATATTATGCCTAAACATTAGACTGATAATTCAAACGCCATCTACATAATACCGCGGCAATATAAATAATTAATTTTGTTTCTACCACTCGCGTTGTTGTTGATTATAACAAACAAAATGGCATCAATCAGTGGTTTTGAAACACAAAAAGATATTGAAAATAGTGCAAATAATGCATGTTCAGGAGACTATTTGCAAAATATTTGTGATTTAAAGACATTTACTTTAGTGAATAAAAAAAATATAACGATATTCAAGCGGGATCTATAAAAAGCCGTGGACAAATGAAAAGATTTTTGATGTAATCCGGCACCTCAAAAATGCTAAGGTGTCCATAGAATCTGGCTCTCGGAGGATACCTGCCCAATATTATTGATGAAAAAAATTATTGTTAGAAAAGCGATCGACTTATTCGTCTCATTTTGTCCTATCTGTCCAACATAAAACATACCAAAGAAAGGAATCGTAGTTTAACCAATTATATCTAGAGATTTTAAAGACGGAACTAGTTGTGCCTATAAATGTTGTTTTTGTCTTAAACCAGTTCACACTATTTGCAGGGAAACAATTGGTAAAAAAGGTTATAGCTCAAATTTTTTGTGTTTGATATGTAAATTTTACTGCATCAAGGCAGCTGTAGATATTGGAGATAAAGTTTTTTTAACTTCGCAAATATTGATAGAAGGTCCGATGATAAAAATATATCTGGAAAAGTATTGGATATGAGACACGGCGTTTACCAATTTAGAATAAGTAATGGGATTATCAAAAACCGGTTTAAGTTTAGTGTAAGAAAATCTTCAAATATTCTTTTCAAAAAATATTAAAAGATAATTCCTTAAGAGAATCTCTTTCTAAAGAATCTTTATTTGGCGGAAAAAGTTTTACCAATTGCTTATGCAAGTCGGCTAAAAGGCAGTGTTAAACTAATGGATGTGCATGTTTTAAAAAGAATATTCTTTGTGGGTCCAAACGACACTCAAGTTTGAGATAATTCTTGATTTAATTATTAAAACCCGCCTATTTATAATCGTTATTTTCTTTTTAAAAAATTTAATTATTTTTCTTTGAATATGTTTGTATTGAATTATTTAGGGGTATTGGGAAATATTAAGTGATTTCGTTGAAATACCGATTTTACATTGATATTGAACTAACCAAAACAATTAAAGTTATAACGAGGACAATTTAAAATTAATATATTTTTTAAATAGTATCATTTGGTTACTTTGAAATATCATATAAGTTAGATGAATAAGTCAAGATTTCAAAAAATTATTAATGTACCCACCTAATTGTTTTTATTTGATAGTATGATATTATCTTAAAAAGTTAATTATTATTTAGTCTGATTATTTCAAACTGTGTTTTCTTCATAGTTACCCTAAAACTGCAACCAACATTAAAATTATAACAATTGCACGAGTTGTCATTTTGCCTTCGGCAAATTACTTAACAGCGAGCGTTTCTAAACTGACGACGCCATATTTAAACGGCGGATTCACACAAAATGCCTGCGACATATATAACAGAAGCAGTTTGGTAGTTTTGGTTAGGTTAGTTAATTAGCTGCCCTGTGCAAAATTAATATTACCATTATTTACACTAACTAACTTAACTTAAATCACTATTAGCCCATGAGCATGATATCATATGTTGGCTTTCTAGGGAGTCAGAATAAGAATACAGAAAAACTAAACAAACATTTGTTGTTATAGTTATGGTTTATACTTACAATATAGTCATTATCAACATCTTCTGGGCCTGCACTAAAATAGACTCTGTAGGATTTGCAAGCCTTCTGCACTTGTTCCTTAGTTCCTGTTAGACCCAGTAACCGTGGTGAGAATTCTTTACAATACCTGAAAAAAAAAATTGAATGTTTAAGTTTGATGATGTATATTCTCTACTACATGAATAACTGGAACGATATTGATATATTTAATTTCTATTTATGTCAACAAAATCTTATCTGTTTTGGCTTTAAACTGAATTTAAGCAAATCTTTAATCATTTACTATAATATTTAATCATTTACAATAATCTTTAATAATTTACTAAGTAACCTATGTTTCGACAGTGAGGTGCCTATACCTCCTGTAATTTTTTTAATACAATCTGCTTAGGCCATTCATAATATCAGGTGTGTCTTAGTTAAGCTACGCCTTGTTCTGGATTAGTGAAAATGGGTGTTAGTGTCAGTATACATTTACCTATTCCTGCACACAGCATAACGAACTCGAGAACGTTATAGGGAGGTGCACCCATACTATATCTCACTCTCGACCCGAGAAAGTGATATTCGGGTGTAGACAAAGTGTTTCTCGAGTTTGTTATGCTACATGTGCTGATTACAACTGCATAACACTATGTAAATTTGCAGATAATCAACATGATGAATTGAATAAAATGAACTTACTTTCCAACAATCTCAGGTGTATCTCTTTGAGGATCTACAGAAATAAACAAGGGTTGCAGTGGTGGTGATGAAGGATTACTTTCTGAAATAAATTTTATGTATATGAAAAAATGGTTATGTAATAGGGAATATTATGCAAACTTCCAATGATTCCCTTCATTCTTACATCCACATATGCACCATTAGTGGATTATTAGATAAAATTACTCTTTCTAATTAATTAAAAGTGTTTAGTTCTGACTATGCTCACTATTACTCTTCACTCACTACTCTGTGAATTACTTTTAGAAGATTGTTACTTGTTACTAGTGCTCAATCTGGTGGAGACAGATGCAGTAATATGTCTAAATTTTTAACATTTTACCATGTAAATTCACAACTTCAGCCAGTTTCTCAAGTTCATCTGGACAAATATCAGGGCAGTGTGTGAAGCCAAAGTAAATCAAAAGCCACTTTCCTAAAAAGTCTGTGCTCTTCACTGTTTTGCCCTGAAAAAGTACAATAATAAATATGTATAATAAAAAAAAGTGGGATCACTTAAATTTCTTGTAAGAACTTACCAAAAGATGTAATATGGACATTTTTTAAGAATATTATACAATAATTTGTATTGTTATATAACTATAAAAAATACAGTGGCAAAAAACTGAACTTCAAAATTATTAATTTAAAACTTAATATCAAAAATATTTAAGTTAGTTATGAGTATTTTTTTTAATAAGCATATGATTTCCAAAATTGTTGAAATAAAAATAAAAGCCTAAAACATCATTCAAATTAAAATGTTTTAGTTTGCTTTATAATATGATGCTCTTATACCAATGCTAACTTATTATAACAATAATACATAAGTAGACTCGGGTGGTTTTTAAATTGTGAAAAGTAGAAAATGTCAACTGATCATTCTCAATAGCTTAAGTTTTTTTTTACAAGGCAAAAAGTCTTAGTTTTATCAAACTGCTATCAGCTGATCATGAAAAAATTTAAATCAGAAACAGTAAATGACATTTGAAATGGTTTAAGTATGGTTTAGAACAGCCATACTCAACCTGCGACCCTCAGGCCGCATGCGGCCCGCTGGGCCTTTGTGATTGGCCCACTTGGGATTTTAAAATATTGACTGAGTTTTAAAATGTCGCGCCCATATGAAAAACTGTTGAAAGTTTTCTGTTTCAAAATTTGGTCTACATTGCATGAGGCTTCATCATAACCTTTTATTAAAAAGGTTACAAAATTATGTACTGTATAGTTGGCTTTATTGTGACCACCTTTTTCTTTCAATAAACACATCGCCAATTTGGAATTATGTTTTTTTAACACCTACATATTTTTGTGGCCTGCAATTCAAGATCGTAACGCGTTTGTGGCCCCATTTAAAAAAAATTGAGTATGGCTGGTTTAGAACATTCTTTACTTTAAATTCTCAATTCAGAAACCAGGTGGTGTTTGACATTACATTTGCTGTGACAAATCACATGGCATTTGACTATTTTCAATTTACACAATTTTTACACTTTATAGTAATTATTTTCCTGACTAAAATACAATAATATTAAAATATATTAATATGTTTGTATGAAAATATATTGAATCATTTTATGAATTAGACTCTTATTCCATATTCACTCATTCACAAATACACAATAGTAGTATGTGTTGTTAAAGAATTAGACATTGTGCTAAAATAAAGAAAATGTTACTATAGTTAAAAGATATAATTAATTTTATTACCTGGGAATCCACCAATTCGAATTCACCACCTATCTTTGCTTTTCCTAGCTGTCTTTTTCTTTCTCTATCGAGTGCCTCCTGTTTTTCTTTTCGTACATATAACATGAAGCCTGTGAGGCCACCGGCTACCGTAGCAGTTACTGCTATTGACTTCCAGGTAATAGGCATGTATTGTTTTCTTGCCTTTTTAGGTGGAACAGCACACTGTCTAATAGCTGAAGTGGAAAATCCACGAAGTAGCAAGCTACTCCGGTTTCTGACTAAAAAGTTCATTTTGACAGTGTTTTATACAATTATATTCAAAGCACTTATAATGTAGTAGTTCAGGTTAGATTACACATAGAATTCCCGGATTTTAAATGACCGAAGATATTTACTTCATATCATAAGTCACAAAATGATAACATTAACCGGTGAGGTGTAAAAGGAAAATCGGGAAATTTAAGAAATGTCCACAGACCAAGAAAGAGATATACATGAACGTCACTGTCACTGGTAGAGATGCCGATGTGACACTTTAGGAAATCGATTCAAACTATACCGTTTATCGATTTTTAAAAACGATTTAATAGAATATGAGCGAATCGTATGTCTGAAAGACCAAATGAAAAAATTGTATTAATAAAACACAAACGATTATCGAAGGGTACAGAGTGAGTACTAAAGCAAACTTGGCACCATAGGCAAAACACTGAATCTAGGCACCATAGGTAACATACTGGATCTTGGCTCTCTAGGCAATGGCTGGAACGACGCTCATAAACAACGCTCACTATAAAAATGAAAAGTCGCAACAAAATAAAAGACACTGATTTAGGTTTTTGATTTAGGTGCACCGATTTTTTTTTTATTCATTGGAAAAATTACATTTTTAAGTCTTTTCTTCATTATATAACCGTAATAGGCTAGATCTATAAAGTTTATTTTAGTTATTATTTTTTTTTAATTTTCATATTATTTTTTGTATTTTTATTATTTTTTAATGATACTATTTTTTGAGATCGAATTAGATTGATTTTAAAGCAATACGTTTCATAGAACGAATCGTTATAATTCACTAGGTCACGATCCAAAAGATTGATTCAAATCGAAAGATAGGGGAGTCTTAGGTCATTATGTCAACGTGATTTTAGTATAAATTTCGTATGTAGTAAAAATACACCGACACCGCCTAATATATCGTATTCTTTTTTAGTCTTCTGAAAGCGTTGTAATACTTCTTTATTTAGATAGTCAACCAAAAGATGTAGGGAGATGCGCTTGTGTTCCCTTTTCTTATGTAAGACCCACATACTATATTGTTTATTTCGTTGAATTGTATTGTTCACTTTCATCATACTTTATCTCGCAAAATATCATTTTCTTTTACGAACGAAAATTCACTTTAAGTAATAAAAATACAATGAGGAAATATTAAAAGAAAAACTAGTAAAATACAATTATATTCTGTAATTTCACGCTGTTTCCCTTGCGGGGTAGGCAAAGAGGAGTGAACGCCACTAAAGTATGGTGCTTACATACATCTTTCACCTCATCCACTTTAATTACTCTTTTCATACATACTCGCCGGTTTTTATGGCTTCTGACACCACCTTCTATTGATTTCGTGATTTGATGGTGACAGGTGTCTCGGCCTCTTTCTGGGCTTTTGCATGCGGTGCAATGCGGTCTGCGAGCGTCATTCCTGGAATTCCACGTAACACCCGTGTATCAACTGCATTTTTATTAAATGTATTATCTTGACACAATTACTTATATAAATAAACGTAGTCCAACAAAACCTTGAGACTGGTTTTACTGTGTCTCTATAATAGCGTCTGTGTTGCAGAAAAAAAAGATTAAATTTAACAATGATATTTTTAATAATATAGTACTATTGTAATTTATTCTACTTACATGCTCTTTCTGAAATTCCCAAATCACTGTATTGTGATGTGTATAGCGAGCTGCCTTTTCTGGCTTAAAGTTTTGCTGTCAGCGGTGTACCTTCAATTCCTGCTAAAAGCACATGCAAGGATTACAAAGTCATTCACTTGTTCCAGCTCTTCATACAACGGATATGGATTTATGTCCAAAAAACAAAAAAGACAATCTTTATCATAAGATATTGGATTTAAATAATTACAACAAAACAGATTATGCCGTCCCCCAAATACGAGCACTCTAGACAGTTGCCTAGTTATATAGCCAGCCCTGTATGCAGTAACTGAAACAATTAAGAAAATATGAAATAAATGACAACAATGATGGCCAATAAATAAAAACAATATCCTCCGTAGTCGAGTGGTTCGCTCGCCGGTTTCAAGGTGTCTCCATCTCTGAGTTCCCAGGTTTTAGCTACTCATCTTGGAATCTGAGCAATGTAGGTATGTGATGTTGCGTTATACTTAATTATTTAATTTCAGTTTTCAGTTATTATCATACAATGAAAAATAATAAGAATGAATTCATTATATTATGGAACTCGATGGCGCAGTCGTTAGCTTGGTCGGTTTGCGATATGGGCCGGTCATAGGATGGATGGCCAAAAATGTATTTTTGTTACCTTGAAGTCTTCCGTGGTTCGGAGGCACGTTAAGCAATTTGTCCTGTCTGCATCATATTAAGTAATAAAGATATACAACACTTAGAAAATACCTATCTATCCAGAGTGGAGACCAGTTGCTCTACCGCAAAACTGCAGCACTGATTTTACTGTCGAAATGAAGACATGTGAGATCTCCAGTTTTGGTCAATTTTTAGTTGTTGATACATGTCAATATCAATTTCGGTACGTAAGTCTTATGAAATAACACATATCGTAAATTCACAATTATTATATCTGTTCTAATCAGATGGATCATAATTATAACTCATATCTAAGTACATTACGATATCTTTTGAAAATAGAGTTAACCAACTTGCGAATAATAGTGTAAAACATTCAATGTTTAAGAACAGTTTATAGCCGAAAAAAGGTTAAAACTGTTATTATAAGGGTTGGTAATCTAAGCTAATAAGCGGTTGTTGTTTTTATTTCGCCACCTGCTGTCGTCGTGAGTTTAAATAATGCAACGTTTAAGGGGCGTAAAGCCACAACCGCGACCCTGCGGCTAGGATTATAGGCAACGCGCGTTTATAAGCATTGCAGATTTCGGTGATGCCCCAGAACCCTTGACGATCCTTTAGAAGGCAGGCACTTCAACGTTAAAATATGTGGACTTATCTCAGCGTGAGTAATGTTTTTGTTAAATTCCAATCTACCAGCGTTTCGTTTATTTACTGTTAACTATTGACATTTCAGTTATCTTTATTGACATGGATGACTGTCTGCACTAATGTCTCCGCCCAGGAATATCTGCCACCGAAAATAGGAGGTGGCGGGGGAAAGAAACCAGCAGTGGCACCGGAGCCTACGGTAATATGAACTTTTTCGAATGGAAATAAGAACCTTTTAAATTATACAACACATTTTAATTTAAGCTTAATAAATAGGGATGGTGATATTTTTTTTATTATAAACACATATTTTTTTTTTATTACGGCGACACATTAACTTTAAATATATCTTTAATGCCTATAATCAAAGCCATTTTTTGTTGTACTGAAAATAATAGGTATCAAATATTTTTCTATTATTTGACTGACGAACTAAATACATTAAACAAATACAGAATTATATGTATATATTTCATAACAATAAACTATTGCACTTTTGTTTAAAAATAGGACAACAATTACTTACCTAATAGTATTTTGAGTAGGTACCTACAATAGATAGTTCTCCAAAGATTCGTTTAGATGAAGTGCTCAACAGGTTTTCTAAACGCTTCTTTACACTCTTTGGGTTCAAAATAATTATATGTAATTTTATACCAACATTTGATTTGTTTCTTAGTTGCCTGCCAATTACGACTTTTCGTATGACGTGCAAGACAACGCGGTAAGCCTGGACTTTGGGCACAACGAGAAGAGAAAGGACGATCGAGCCACCGGATCCTACCATGTATTACTGCCGGACGGAAGAACACAGTTGGTAGAGTACGAAGCCGGCCCGGACGGATTCAAGCCACAGGTGATCGAGTTTGATATCTTAAGTTTTTGGTACAACTGATCCATGAATGTAGAAGGACTCAAGTTTTGTTATAAAATTACTGCGCAAATTTCGGTTTTTTTTAATACAGGAAAAATAGTTATGAATGTACAAATTTCATATTTAAATTAACATTCTTTTTATATTTATTAACATTTAGATTATTACAACAGTTGTAAACAAACAGTGTGTATATTGACTAAAAACGGTCAGTGATCTCCGTATACAGACTCTACGTATATCTTTATGTATACGTAATACGTAAGTATCTAACTCGTTGTGCCTATTAAATATGTACTTTTTTAAAAGATCAATATAGTTTGCTATCTGGCGATCATAAGTTTTTACTTGTGCGTGTTACTAGATACCTTTTGTTTCGCGCTGTGGTTCTTAAGAATTATGAGGAAAACAATATTTTTAACACAAACACTTTATTCTTGAACATAAAAATTGCAGAGTATATATAAATGACGTCTTTCTGTGATATTAAAAACAACAACTAAACGGCTTCTACGGTGTTACAGATCATAGACAATGTGTTGCCAGCAACACCTTTTTTATTGTCATAACTGATATTAGCAGGTTAAAAAAAGAGAGACACTTGACGTGAATATGATTCATATCGAATTCAATATTATATATGCACCGATTACAATTTTTTCTTGTATAAATATTTTCTTATAAAAACTTTTTACAGGTTATGTATATGGGTACGGCGACGTTCCCCGCGGCGAATGCTGGTGGCGATAAATTCGACGGGTACCATTACAATGCTGCATCTAATAGACAGAGTGTGAGACAAGCCGCGCCACGGTCGCGTCAGCAAGCGACCGCACCACCACCAGCGCCGGCACCGCCCGTCGTCTACGCCTCGAGTAACGCAACAAAATAAAACTAAATTCAATTCGCCAACAACGCAAAATGCGGTTAACATGGCAGCTGCACGGAAAAACGTTGAGAAGTCACGAAAAAAGGAAATTTAGCAAGAACTAACATTAGCATCATTGAATATCAATGATGCTTCTAATCTTAATAGGAATTTAAAAAAGACTGGACGAACTGAAGTTCGAAAAAGTTTTGTGATATAAATAACAAACCACCAAATATCTGTGTTTAATTTTTTTTTATTTATAAATTAGAGTTTGTTTTATAGTATCAAAATATATTCAAGAAACAACTAAATTAATGTGGATAATGCAGTGGTCGTAATAAAAAAAATATTTTTGTAAGTCTAAATTTTTAATTACAAAAGTATCTAGTATATACTAAGAAATAATTTAAAAATAAAAATAATCTTATGAGAACATTTGTCATAGATGTGATCTAGATTCCTTCCGCCAAGTATTTTTTACACGTTCTTATTTATATCGGTACACCAAAATATTTTTTTCTCTAAAACCGATAACAGAGTACATAATTTTCTACTAATCAAAATAGGAACTACTCTAAGATTCACTGTACTAATTATCAGCTAGAGTCTAATATGTAAGATTATAAAACTAGCTTTTATTTTGAGTACGATGCAAACTTAAATCAGAATTCCGTTTCTTTTTAATATTTTTTCAATAACTTCATTTGGATTGCGATTCTTATTTTGGAGGTCCATCGTAAAAGAATGAGTTAAATTCTTATTTTCTTTGTTAAAAATAATGTTTCTGTTTTTAATTATTGCACTTTATGCATAAAAACTTTAACAGTAATAAGTTAGCATGGCATGACTTATAACATCAAGAAATCGCTCTATCTTGCGCCAAGTTCATTGTCTTTGCTTTTCTTTAAAAAAGTCAGCGTCAAACACAACAGTCACAGCTGATTTTCAATCAAATAAAACCGACTTCAAAAATTATACAGGTGCGAAAATGTATGGTGCGACAGCGATAGACGCTGCATTCCACGCAGATTTTATTTTCAGCCCTGCAATTCTGTAAAAAAACCAGACCCGGATTTGAATCAAAAATACAAAACCTAATTGACTGAATGTACTTGTATCATATATTCTATTCCTATGTCATTTCGAAACTCACTTCACGTATGCCACGTAACGTTATTACCAATTATAGGTTGAACCGATGCCGTTTTTTGAAGTTAATTTGGACACCTGAGTGTATTCGAATTCGCGTTTGGATTTTAACAGAAATGCAGGGCAGATTAGCAAAGCAGGGCGTTTTCGTATGTGGCATTTTTAATACATTGTCATTCACAGTCGTAAATACACCACTGACATATGTCGTAAATTTTCTCACGATATGGCGATTTATGAAAAAGGCTAACGATCGTACGAACAGAAGACGCGATTTCATTGTGCGATAAAAAATATTATGTCCGCCGAACGATATCGTCTTTCATCGCCATGTTATTGTTTCTTAATGATGTATGCCCAATAAGAAAATAAATAGAGATCGCATCGATTAAACCTATCGTACGGTTTATAATGAGCATTTGCGTACGAAAATTATAACTCACCGTACGAACGGTGAGTTATAATTTTGAATTAGGAGACTACCGAGATTTATGTTTTAAACACGTCGTGCGATGAAAACACATCGCCTTGTCGTACGTTCGTAACCAATGTCTAAACGCCTTTCATTATAAAGTTTGCATCGCATTACACATAACTCATGGTTACATCTTTATTTGAGTTACAAAAGCAGCTTTTTTACAGTCAATTGGCATGTAGTATGTCGATACTTTGATCCGGCCAGTGCACGCGACGATGGGTCGACACGTTATCGAAGCCGACATTGTCAAACGACTGGTAATCCTTCTGTAGGCTCATCTCGGCTAAATTTCTATACCTTCAAATAAAATAAAAAATCAGTAACATAATCAAGTAGATTCACTTTGAAATGTTTATGTAGAAAATTTGGCATTAAATACTTAACAGCTCTCATCTTTGTATGATATGAACTCAACAGTTTAAAGCTATTAATTTTCACCAATGACTAGTTTACGAATTGTAACTATCGGATTCAATCAAAATGCACTCCAAATTTCAATACAGTTCTTTTTTTAAATAAACATGCTTATTGACATATAATTTACAATAGATCCTCAAGACTTCTTAATTAAACTATAAATGTTATACATATTTATCACAGTTTTTTCTAATCCGCGGAACGGTGACTTGGGTTGTGTCGAAATACTGAGTCAGTGGTGTCAGTGAGGTGAGAATGTGGTAGCGGTCAGCTCTAGGACAAAAACGAAGGAAGAAGTAGGTTCAGCGGGAGTATTAAAGCAGGCTCGCCGTCCCAAGTGCAACGTTGAGTGCATTTTATTTAAATCAACTGCCAACTAAATCTAAGCGTGTGTAAATAACGCGTAAGATTATCACAAAATTAAAAATTGCCATGTTCAATTTTAACTTAACTGCCGATATATTAGGCATTAATGCTTATTATCGATTGGAGTTATTAGATAGACTTTTATTAACATAAAAAATATATATATTACCTTTTCACAAGTACACAACAGCCAACTAAGAGGAGCACTTGTACCGCCAGCCACGCAAGTGCAAGTGCCACCAAGAGTAACTCGTGGACACACACCATTGCCTCGTCGTTTACAGTACTAATGTTCTCAGCTGAAAAAACATAAAACTTTAATTTCTAAACATAATGAAAGTAATGATCGCCAACTTCCTTGATTATAGAAATTAGTCAAAAATATTTTTAAAAATCAATGAGGAATTTTTAAGTTTTATTTTAATTAGTGATGTTAAATTATTGAATCTAGTCACCCTGTGCACTAAATTTCCCTTTAAACTTAAAACATAAACTTTAACTGTCGAATACGAATTTAACTGTCGTCCGTCCGCGAAATTTTCCTTAACATAGGATATAGTATAGAGTAGTATAGATATCATAAACAATAATTTTTCAATCATTCGACTACTGAAACAATAAGCTTCTTAAGGTTTTCATATTATTTTTTTGTGACTAAGTTATTTTTCATTTTGAAAATCGTAAATTTGTTACATTGTAAACAATCACATAGTAAATATAGTAGTATGATTTCCGCCGTTATTTGAGTATATAAAAAAACAACATAGTCATCTGTTTTCTTTTAGTAGACTAAATTATATATGCTTATACTTAAAGTGAATAACAGATTTAATAGTGTGTGCTACGAGGCGTTTAAATTCGACGAAGCGTATCATTACAGATGGATGACATAACAATATAACCGATATAATTCTATGAACGAAGTTCCCGCACACTTTACAAAGGTGAGAAAATAACTTTATCTATTATAAAAATGTAAAGGTCATAGTTATTTCTTTAGAAAAATACTTAAAATGGTGTTCGAGATGGAATTCGAATTCCGTTAATTGGGCAACTACTGTACCAATTAATTGAGCTATTAGAGACGTTAAATAAACTGTCGAATTATTCAAAAACCCCAGATCTTGTTACTTTCGCTGATATGTGAGTACCTATACCTTTTTATCAGTTCATGCAAAAAATGTATCTGCTCAATTCATAATCTGCATTGACTTAATAGGAGTGTGTAGAAGATAAATAAAATGCTATCTCATTAAAATGTCTTTGTTATCTCATTAAAGTTTCCAAAAAGAGCATCGTTCTCCAACCAAAGTTAGCTAAATAGGTCCACCTATTTAGCTAACTTTAGTTTTAAAGTTTTTGCAAAAGTTCAAGATGGGAAAATATGCAGAAATACAAAGAAACAGTTTAAGCATATATTGCATTTTCCCAGTACAAACTGTTCGTATATGTAAGACAGTGTGCGTTCAGAAATTTTTACTTAGTTTTACTTAATTAATGAAACGAAAATATGCATTAAACTTACGTATAATAGCTTGATGATCAGCATGGATCAAAGTGTCTGCTGAGAGCACATCCCCAGATCCCACTACCATTTCGACTTCTAACGGAACTTGCCCATCCGATGCACCACACAAGGGGGCACCACCTTGAGCAACCACGCCACTGGGAGCACTATTGAGTCTATTATACTGCCAGCTCTCTTCTCTAACTGTAGCTTCAATGCCATTATCATCTAACTGATAGGATGTATCATTGGTATCTCTAGCTGTTCTCATTGATTGGTGAGTAGCGCAATTAATCTGTAAGAAGAAATTGCTGCCACTCTGAAGAATCTTAAAATATATATATATATATCAATTTATAATAGGGTATGGTCTTACTTGTGCACATTTGCCTTCGCAAAATCTAACCATTATCGCGAACCGAACCACGTGTGAAGTTGGAAAGCGAAATGCTTTGAAGCGAGCAGAAAGCCTCTGCGTTCCTCCTAGCCGAGTCCTGCTGAAGGATGGGAAGTCAACCTGTTGGTGATATCAATAAAGTAACCAATTTCAAAAATAATATTTATTTCGTATCTACTATATTTGTATAATGTACCTGCCCTGTAGGACAACCTCGACTATCCAATAAAAGAACGGAGCTGTCCCCGAGCCGTGATGAAGCTACGAGATGATAAGCTTCAATTTCATTGTTATCTGAAACGGACACAAAAACTGTCAACATGACTATAGGAATTATTAGGAAATCTGTTCCAAGAAACAATTGAATAGCGAGTAATTTTAATTTATGAAATGGAAAATGAATGAACATTTTGCATTTCATATATTGACATCATGCAATTTGTGTTGATATGTAAGAGGTTTTATCCTTCAATTTTAATTTTTTTTGCTATTGTATAAACTGTAAATAAACATAATACAAAAATGTGTTGAGTATACATGCCTGTAGTCTCTATGCGTAGTTCGAGCGCTTCTCCCAATGACACGGCTGCAGTGTTGGGACTATCGTCTTGTACACGTACCACATACATGGTTAATGGTGCCGTGTTGGCATTGTACACGGCACTGGCTGAGGCGGGAGTTGCTTCGTTTGACAACTCGCTAGCCTGAGACGGTTTACTGTGAAAACATATAAAAATACTGATAAAACATCCTCAGTAACAAATAAAGTAACCACACTATATCTTATTTCCGCAGTCGATTTTGAACTTGATTGCCAAAAATTAAGACTTTAATCGATTTAAAGTTTTGCATTGACGCACTGTTAAAAATAAGAAAAACATTCTATGAAGACTGTTATAAATACTCTATGAATAACAATATCAATATGGACTCTAGATCTCCGAGGTCCCAGGTTCTATTCTCGGTCGGATCAATATAGAAAAGACCATTTTCTAAAAGAAACGTTTCTATAATTTCTCGGTTCTGATTATTGTGATACCTTCAATTTTGCAGATTTCCATAATATAAGTGCTAAAAGCTACTTCAATAGGGCTGTTTTATCGTCGAGTTCGAAGATGCTTTTGTTACAGGATCAAACAAAACCTATTTCAAAAGGTATCATCATCACCATCACCAGCCCTTTTACGTCCCCACTGCAGGGGCTCAGGCCTTCCTTATGGATGGTTAAGGAGGATGGGCCATGACCCTCCACGCTGGCCCAATGCGGATTGGAGGGTATTAACGACTGCAAATGCAGCCGGGACCAATGGCTTAACGTGCCTTCCGAAGCACGGAGTAGCTCGAGACAATAATTTTTTGGTCACCCATCCCGTGACCGACCCTTGCGAAAGTTGCTTGACAACTACGTTCGCGGGCCGCGGCGCTTATCCACTACGCCATCGAGCTACTCAAAAGGTATAAAAGGTTTTATATCACCGAAAATCTTTGCTGTGACCGCGCTGTGGTTGACGTCGACTTGAGGTCGTTTTTATTACAGATATAGCTGAGCAACGTATATGGATTTTTGAAGTATTTGACCTTGTGTCTCTGACAGTAACGGTAGCGTCTACAGCGTGTGTTGAAGTTTGTGATCCTGGTGAGCATCCGACTCGCACCCAACGGTCGCCTGCGGTCTGAATGATGGGGTTGTTCTGTATCATTACTATCACGTACGCCATGGTTCTGTAAATTATTATTTTTTTACTTCAAATGTGTGGACGCATGTAACTCACCAGTTACTTAATAATGCAAGAATGGCAGTACTAAAGCTAAAGTTCTTACTCTGATATTTCAATTAGGGCAGTAAAAGAATACCTTAATTACTTAAACCAATCAACTATATATCTACGTATATACACCTATTGAAAGTGTACCAAATCATGTCGGTAGTTTGATATTTTTTAAATAAATTATGTAAAATCAAGACTAGTTCGTAGTAATCAACTCAATGTCGTTCATATAAAAGTTAGGCAATTATACAAAAAAAAAAAAGATTTATTGCAATCCGACGTCTTGTTTGCGCGATATCCTACAGACATACATACATTTGGCACACGTGCTTAGAAGCCCATACAGACTTCGAATTGATAACCTCCTTTTTTTAAAGTCAGTTAAAAGAGCTTAATTAGATAAACAAGAAGATAATATTTTTTTGTTAGTGTAACATTATTGATTTTTAAACAAATAAATTTTAATAACCTGTTAACCATTCCGGTGGGCGTCTTCGATATGGCATAAGCAAAATTTACATCACACTCCCCATATAACGGCAGCGCGAGTCTGACGACGCTGCCCGAGGAGCGCGCGCTGCAGCGCTCGCCACGACCAGGCACATAGACTCGTCCACGGAACACTCCACGCGGACGATACATCACTACCAGATTGGAGCCCTCGCAGTCTACCGTGACTGGATATAATCCATTATTTTTAAGCAATTTGCTATAGACGGAGAGCTTGTGATTAAAATGTGCGAGTTTTCTCAAGTTATATTTCAGTATGTTAAAGTACTAAAGGTATATATCTCTTAGCACCCAGTGCGGCGGTTACGCCTCGGTGCTGATTTTCGCATCCCTTAGTACTTTAATATACGAGTACTAAAATATCGAGCTCTACAAAACTCTCGCACATTGTTGTCATCAACTTTTAAAGTACTAGTTACTATGGCTTAATTTGTTGTATCTATAAATTCAGATCATCACGCAAGGACAAGATAACGAATATCGTTTTAATAACACCAAGAATTACAGAAAAAAAAAATAGTTCAAAAACTATACCCGACCACAGATAAATCATGCACTAAAAAGTTTGAGACACGAAATTTATTTTATAACGATAGTTATATTATAATAGCAATGTCCAAAGGACAGCGTAGTGTTATGTCACAATAGTTTATTTAGAGAATACATATATACAGGCCAAAATCAAAACCCTCCTTTTCGCTTCGCCGTAGTCGGGTAAGAACACAACAAGATGCGTTCACTATTGGTTCTGTACAAATATATTTTAAACCGTTTCTGTAATCTATCTATTCTATCTATCTATCATACTATGCTCACTTGTTTAAGAGTTACGGTATGGTTTATTCCTTAGTTATGTATATTTATTTCAATTATATTACTGTAACTTGTTTTGTGAGCTAAATAATAAATAAATCTATTATCTATATAATTATTATATTGCAAATTGTAAGTACTTAGCATTTAAAGAACTATTTGCTTATATTTTTCAAAATGTAGGTAGTAGTTAGTTTTCTTCAACTTTTTTAAATAACATCAAATTATAATTTTCACAACTACTTTCATTTGATACCAATTAATCTACAGTCACATTCAAATTCCTTTTATGAGGCTAAGGGCAAAGATATACTACGTCTAAAGACGAAATTCGCGTAAATCCACCGACAACTTTATTTATAAATGTCACGCCAAGTGGTCCTACTAGTCGACTTTAACCTATTATCAAAGTCATTTTTTGTGAAGTAGAAGCATAAAATACGTTAGTATCTAATATTTTCCTATTAACTAAATGACGCACTAAATATAATTTCTTTTTTTTTACTCAGTAATTATCCTCTTCCTCCTCTTTCATTTCCTCTTCCATCCTCTCGACCTAACATTGACCAATCTCACGACAATTGACCAGTAAAACAAACACTTACTATTAAGGCAAATAACCCTCCTGTAATAGGTGGCGGGTGAGGTGCGACGCAATAACCAGGATCCTGTGGTCACGAAGTCTTCACTATGCAGATCGCAGAGACCTCGTGCGGACACCCTGTGTCTCTCTGTCCATGTAAACCCGCGACAAACGAAACGTTGTTCAGCTTCACACATCGACTTGCACTACAATGTTAAATAAAATAAAAAAATAATGGAAAAATATATTTACATAACAGTTCGTAGTGAATGTAAAAGTCACTAGAATAAAAATTAGATCTTTTTTTTATATAAAGCCATAGCACAAACGTCCCTTAATTGGCGTTATTGAACCTTAATGGATGTTTGTGCAACTGACCGATAGTGTACTAAAAGCCAACTTAATGTAGTGAATAACAGAATAAACTGTGTACGTAAAATATGTATACCTCATCTTTGGTATAATTCTTTATAGTAACCTCGACATGTTTCAAAGTCTGGTTATAATACTCCTCGTAAGAACATCGATCAATTTTCTTTGGATCTGCAATAAAAAAAAGTGTATTGTATAGTATAGTATATAAGTGTATAGTATAGTTGTTTTTTAAAAATTATATAAACATTTTTAACACAAAGAAAAACAAAAAAATATCCGGTGGCAAGATAGAATTCTAACAAATGACCTTTCTTAACCCGGGCCACTACTTTAAGCATTTTTATAATAAATCAATTTCAATATAGCATTATGAATGCAAAATATATCAACTAAAATAAAATAAATTAAACTAAATGTCACAGAATAAAAAACCTATATATGTATTGTCCCTGGTACTCTGAGGAGGAAAACACGCTCTATAATAGCAAAAAGTAACAAGTTTCTTGTAAATGCATCAGTCCTGTTAGGTTCTGGGTAGCTCAGTGGTTAGAGCATTCGCCCGGATTGCGAAAGGTCGTGGGTTCGAATCCCATCTCAGATTTTTAAGATTGGATTTTTAAGCATTTTCTATTAAGAATATTTTCTACTATAGCATTGTGAACGCATTTTTTTATCAGTTTTGTATTACAAGATAAATGAATAAAAATTGTTTTAAATCTTTACAGAATATTATCATGAAATTGATTGATTCTCCAGCTACTTTTATAACAATTGAAGAATCTACAATCTTACATTATTTAAATATATATATTTTGATTATAATTAATACTGATTTCTGAAATTGATACTAGTACTAGGATAATATGTTTATTACATTGGTACTTTTGCGACGTATTTTTTCAGTCTATTAAGTATCCTGAGTTCACGGCAAACTTAATTTATCTTCAATTATATAATACGAGCTGTTTTCCCACGACTTCGCTCGCGTCAAAGTAAAAGAATTTATCAAATCGATCCAGTAGTTTAACAATCAAATATATGCAAAGTTTTTACAAAGACAACCTAATTATAATAACGCTGCAATCTGTGCGCTCCTAATGCGTTTTTTTTTTTCATTTGTGATTGACGTCATGTTTGACAGCCTTTTAAGTAGAAAAACCTGCTACACACACTTATTCATATTTTATGAGTTAGAATGTTTTTAGGGAAAGAAGAGTACTTTTTTATACTTTACTTTTTTTATCTCTCCGTTACTACCTAATACAGACTTAAACACATAGTAAAAAAAAAGAATTTTGCGCTTAACAACACATTTAGCGATACGTTTCTTTTTATAAAGATTACCAGCTGGTTTTTTCACGACCTCGCCCAAGTAAATTGTAGCCCATGTCTCCGTGTTTGGTGTAGCTATATGTAGGTTACAGATTTCTTAAATTCGTTCCAGTGCTTTCGGAGCTTATTAGATGTAAATAAACAAACTTTATAAATTTCCTTTTTTTAATATTTGTATAGACTTAGTAATAAACACTTTTCAAGTTTGTAGTTCTCTAACTTTGTTATATATAAGATTTTGATACTGCCCTGCTATTCTGTAAATTTGAGCCCGAATTCGAATTCAGGTGTCGGAATTCTCTTCCGCTCAACCTTGAATTGGTAATTACGTTTCGTGGCATAAAAGAAGGAAGTTTCATAAGGACATAGAAATAGAATATTTGAGGCACGCATTAATCAATCAATCTTGTTTTGTATTTTTATACAAAAATGGAATCAGTAGAATTTCTACACGAAATGACATGAATTCGCACACATGAGTGAATTAGAATTCGGATTTTTTACAGAATCGCTCCCCTGTTTTCATCATGAGATAGGAAATTCGTTTAGAAAGTTTGTTTACAGTACAGAAAAAAAGTGCCACTCATATTTAAGTCAGGCTAGATCACTACTATTATAATACATAGCATAAGGCAAAAGTATGCTCGAGTCAGAAGTACAGTAATCTATCTATGTAAGGACTTCCTTTTTATATTTTGTGCTTGTGGCACAAAGAAGCGTGACACGTTGTTAAGCCAGGAAACTTGTCTAAAAAATCCTTTAGAAATAGAACATATCTGTATGTATCCTTTAGAAATAGAACATATCTGTAACATATGAGTTTGTATGTATTTAGATCACAGAAATCAACTTTGTAATATAAAGGTGCTAAATCCGGAAATTCAGCTTAGCACTGATTTTTTTACCATTCGAATTGCTTCCGAATGTAGCACTAATAGTTGCTTATCAAAGGATTCCATTTATTTGATGTTTTAATGAAAATAAAATTATGCAATTAGACCTTTTAAGCCAGCCAAGTTTAAATTATTGCATACATAATATACTGATTATTGCTGTTCATGAAAGATAACATTAAATTACCTGGATAATTACAGCTAGTAGCGAAACGACCTAGCACGATATTACATTAAAATTCTTTTATTATGTAAATATAAATATTGGATGGCACTAATTAGTAAGTACCTACTTCATTTTCGCGTAAATTAATTAAATAATTAATCATAATACGATGCTGCAGGGTTAGCGGGTTCAGTGTGTAATGCGGAAGCTATGGAACTTTTGCAAGGGCCGGTCATAGGATGGGTGACCAAAAATATGTTGCTTCGAACCTCTCCGTGCTTAGGAATCCACGCTTAGCCGTTAGTCCCAGGCGCGTGTGCAGTTGTTAAACCCCCACGGCCTGCACGATTGGTTATGGACTATTGACCCACTCTTCCTATTATTCAATTGCATCCATGGAAAAAGGCTTACTCACCAGCAGTGGGGTTATAAATAGACGACAATGATATACAGAATTCGTTGTGATTTCAATTTAATAAATATAATTGATTATAAAAGTCTTTTCGAAAGGCTTATACTGTGTAAATATAAACACATTTTAGTGTCTTCATTCTCATACATACATTTTTCCTCATATATATCCGGTATATATATATAAAAATTAATCGTCGTAATGTATGTGCGGGCATAACTTTTGAACGAGTGCACCAAATTGGATGATTATTTTTTTTAATGTATTCTTTAGTCAGAACAAAGATGGTATATTCGAAAATTTATAAAAACGGCTATTTGGCGGTACGATGTTCGCCGGGTCAGATGATTTATAATAGAAGTACAAACAACACTTACAATCATGTCTGCATTGATTCTCTATGTAAAATGTATAGTAGTTGGAAACACGGTAAGATTCTGGCTCTGTAAATTTATCTTCGGAGCTGAGGATACAGTTTCCAACATCTGTCTCCGTCATTTTCACCAGTTCGGCGTTGAATAGTGCTTCGGGTCCTACCCATTGAGCTGACCTGGCAACATTAAAACATTATTTTTAGAAAATGTAAGCCTTGATTATATTATATGATTTATTCACGCATGTAAAGCAACAACTTCATTAAGACAAATATCTTATCAATATTAATAAACATAAATAATTAAATAATTTTGTTTTAATGTTTTTGTATGATGGAAAATATTAAGTAATCTAAATAAATAATATAAATGAGGAATGTAAAAGTTATCATTTAATCGAATTTTGACTAATTAATTAGAATATAATATAATTAGAATATAATATATTAGAATATAATAAATATCAAAGAAAAGACATAAACGCGTTACATTTTTAATTACGTTGGTTTAAACATAATTTCAAGTCAAATGCTCCAAAAACTTAACACCACTTTTACAAAACAAACAAACATTTTTCGTACCTACACCATCCTAACAAAATGATCAAGCGATTACTTGATACCTGTAATTGTTTATGGAAACCAAGAACAATAATGGAAAATCCACTAAGTTGCCAATGAAAACAATAAGGTATTCAACACACAGATATCCCACTATAAAAGTAATTGTTTTGTTTACGAGATAAAGAATCGATGCAATGAAAAATGCGAAATCGTGATGTTGATAAAAAAAAATTATAATTGTAGTTTTTGTAGTATTGAGAATTATTTTCACATAGTTAAGTTGTTTGAATTGTCTATATTTGAAATAAGAGAAAAGGTGTCACCCTTGTTGTTTAATGATTTAACGAATAAACAATGGGATTTTCTCCGTAGAATTTATAGGTGTCATAATATATCACTCGATGCCTATACGCACCTAAGCGCACTAAGCATTACTTTAATTCTACGTTAGCATAATTAAATGCATCATACGTCATTGTCATAAAAAATTTCTTGCGCTTTTACATATATATGAGGTATTTTTTGTTTAATAAAACTACTTAATAATTGATTCCACTTCTTTTGTAAGAAATTTAGATGTTAGCATCTCAGAAAAAAATATCATTATAACAGAAACATAATAAGTTTCTTTTAATGAAATACTTTATTGTGCCATACTTATAATAAGAGCACTTTCTACAATTGTGTTTAATTTCGATAAAATTGCATCGTTTTTTGTTTAGAAAAACAGTATTGCCTGGACCTTAATTGACTTTCTATTGACTAATTTTACAATTCAGGTTTCCTATAGGCTGCGTACATTCAGCATAATAACATTTCTGGGACTCATGGGGGTAATAAATATTGATTGCCCAGAACTCTGATTTGTCCTTGATTGCCCCCGCTAATCTGGCAGCTAGAAGTATGATTTGCTCCAGAATCTGGGTTTCTGGATTACTGTGTACGGACTTCCTTGTATTATTGGCAACACTAACAAAAGTATTTGAATTGAAAACGAGCAAACGATTGTACTCATTTAAGAAGACATCTGAAGGTTTTTACCTATAAGTTTGCCCTGTATCGTCGGTTAGTACAGCTGCATAGCACTCTCGTACTGTTGTGTTGAATAATACTCTTATTCTGGCTTCATCTGCATGCAAACTGTAACCTGCCGTGCTCTCTAATGCCCACCATCTCTCTCTGCAACCTTCAGCCTCTAAAAATTAACCAACTAAATGCTTATATATGAATCTAATAGTGTGTATGGGTTTGTCGGGTCGCGACGTTCCCTAAAATATGGACAAGCGAAGCGATAGCTGACTCATGCTCATGAACGGGTGTTGCCCGTGGGGATGAATCTGCTCTGAAGTACATACATAATTTCGTTCATTTTTTTATTATGAATATGTTTTGTCAATGAGTATGGATGACTCGGCAACCGGAATATTAATCGGTTTTCGAAAAAGTATCTGTTCTGTCTCATAAATTTTCAATATAACTTCTCTGTATGATAGAAAAGCAGGCCTAAGACAGGAGAGAAAAGCAGCCCTTGCTGAGTTTCTTGCCGGTTTTGCCCAGTTCAAGGACTACCGCACTAGATTTGCGAAGCAATGTTGTCGTTTTCGACGTTTACAACATTTGTTTTTAACAGCCATGACTGAATTAATTACATTAAATTTCAATTTCATAGATTTTTTACGTACATACTTAATGTGAATGGGAAAAGTAAAACTAAGTTCGCCAGAGTCGTGCAAGTTCTTCCCTAGCCACAAAACAGGGATAAAGCTTACGCTAAACGACATACAGATGATAATAATGTTTCTATGATTGAGTACAGCTATTCCATTCTGTCAAAAATAGCTTCGTACTCGACATCGAGCGAAACGCCTTTGTAACCTTTTTAATCAGGTTTTATTCGATTGAACCTCTATGCTATGACAGTCCTTCGACATTGAGCATTTATAACAGCACTGTAATTCTATTGACTTTCATACCAAAACCATGTTGTATATAAACATCAATCAGTTAAAAGATAAGAACAGTTACTATATTATGCGATTCGACTTGATGTTTCATTCATGGGTAGGTATACTATATTATTAGACGTCTACAGTCGTAAATGACATCGACCAGTGAAAAATGCATAAGGAAAACTTATAGTAAATTCATGGATGGTTAAGTTTTTCTACATCAGCTTATTATAAAAATAGATTGAGGTAAATCCCTGCATTCTGTGCATATTTTATTAGATTCTCATATTTATTTATAAATACAGTACAGTAACTCTTAATCAGTGATAAGAACTAAAAAGGTTTTTGTGCTGTAAATAATAAAAATACATCGCGGCGAACTTAAAATCATAAGGCAACGAAAGTGAAAGTAAAGGTAAATAATATAAAGATATTCAAACTTCTTGCGTCGAACATTTAAACTATCCTTTTTTTAACTTGACATTGGCAAAATGCACAAGTCGTGCCTGCCATAAAAGCCATTCGTTGTTGATTTTTTATACGATTTAAAATGGCGATTCGTATATCATCCTCTTTGTAACATAGGCTTCTAATAATAAGGTAGAATATAAAATATTAATTCCAGTTTCAAATCCTGGAACTTTTAATAGATTTATTTACTCGTATCGCTTAGCGTCGCTTAGTAATATCTCTAATTTTAATTATTGGGAATTAGGTATTTTAATAATTAAAATTATAAGTTTTTCATTAACTTATTTGAATAAATATTACGTTGATACAACTTTCAGCTTATTTAGAGTCAGTCGTCAACCTTGGGGAGACGAATGTCTTGTGCTATTGACAATGTTACGTTTTAATTATAAAAAAATATATATTGTTTCAAAATCTCTGTATAAGTATGCGGTTTAGTTTATACTTAGGTACTTCTAACTAAAATGTGTTTCTTAATTAAATTTAATGCAGCCCAAGAAATAAACTTCTCAATAATTACACAACATTGGAAACAAAGTTCGAAATTCATTTACATAAATTAACTAACCTAAAATGGCGTAAGAATTTCATAAACATTAAAACATTGATTGATCTTATTTTTCTAATGAAACCGGTAGTTAAAGTGTGATAAAAATAAAAGAGAGAGGCCTACACACGTTCCAAGCATATTTTTTTGAAGTAGGAAACGTCGTTGTCTTGACGCAGCTCGGAATCTCGTGTTGGGGCGATGCCGTGGCAGTTGCCCTTGTTATAAGCGACGACAACTGCAGCACAATCCGGCAACTCTCTACACCGAGCCAGACAGGCGCCAGCCAGTGACTCTTCATCCCCGCTCGCTGCATACACGAAGACAGGAGCTACACCTTCAGGTGACACTCCAGACCAACGCACAAAGGTAACCCTCTCCGACCCGCTACACTGAGCTTCCACACCTATAAGAATACAGATAGAATTAAACTAACGTGTGAACTTTAAAAAGTTCAGGGTTAGAGAGTTGTGATATTGTGCAAAACGAGTTTACAACTTATAAACATAATGTGTAGCTTTAGTGGTTCAGTAGAGGTCTGAGGCAGCAACGGAAAGGTCATTCCGACTTCGCATCTTTTTCGAAAGTGAGTGTTATTTCAGTGTTGTGACACTAACAAAATCCGGTAAAACAATAAGTTTATAGTTTTTAATTATTTTTATTAATAATACCGGCTTATATAATATTAAAGAAAAACTGGCAACGATATTATAGTATTTTTTTTTTGGGATTTCGAATTTGTTTATAACAAAGTATAAGCTTATCGAGTGAAAGGATTATGTTGCGTAAAATGAGTTTTGGTAAAATTTTATCTTTTTGTTTTTTTCTACTGTGAAATTCTGTAGTTTTATATATATTGATATGTGCAATTAAAACATCTATTATCAAATAAATAGTGTCGTAACAACTAGACAGGTCTGGTAAGTAGGTTAAGTCCGCATAAATGGCATCATAACAATATACAATTTCCATGCGTTATTACGAAGTTATTTTATTTTTCTATTGGTTTTTCTTGTGATTTTATGTAAATATTATTTAAAAAAATAAGATTGTTATTAGAAAAATTGTCTTTTAAGCTGAAATTTATTTATTTGAAAATATATTTTACATAGCACTATGCGCCATTTCTTTGTCAACAGCAAACAATAATTATTGGTGAAAACTCTTTTACGGTATTCATTCTAAATGAAGTAAAGAGACTATATATATCAATGACAAAGTTAACTTAAAACATTAACAATTTTACACAAGCAATAAAGTATGCATTTCCATTATACGAATTAATCTGCAAATCTATCTTCTATCCATCTTTTATTAGATATTTTTACTACCTAAGCAATGTTTTTGTTGAACTCAAATTTCCGATACTGAAAATAGCATAACATTAGATTGTGGAAAAAGTTTTTTCGCATATAGTATACATAAACTTGTAATAATATCTTTTTGACTATACCATTTGTATCTGGTTGGTTTCGTTATGCTTAAAGTTTAAATTTTGACTCCAAATTAAATTTAGGAAAATGTGTGATTTTCATTTGTTTTTCTTACTGTCAAAATAAGAGAATCTAACGAAGAAATTCGACACATTTTAAAATTTTATTACAAAAAAGGTAAAAATGCAACAAAATCCGCGAAGAATTTTTGTAACATTTATGGACTTAGTGCAGTTACTGTGACAGTAGCACAAATTTGGTTTAAAGATATTCAACCGAAAAATTGTCGTCGCTCGTCGCTACGGTCGCCTGTTACAGATAAAATGGATACCATTTTGAAAAAGTGGAGTATGATCGGCATATCAGTAGTTACGACGTAGCTTAAGAATTGCGAATGGGCCCACAAAACAGTTTTGGCGCATTTGAAAAAGTTGGATATTTGGGTACCTCACGAGCTCTTACTCATTTATGGTTCTTTATTATGGCGTAATGAAACCGAACCATTTTTGAAGAAGCTGATAATTTGTGATGAGAAATCGATCAGGTACGACAAGAAAGTGCGAGAAAGGTACTAGTCAAGGGTCGATCAGACTCCAGATTGTAATGAAACCCGGGTTAACTCGCAACAAGTTGATGCTGTGTATATGGTGCCAGGCAAGATCATCGATTCTGAAATCTACTGCGAACGACTGATGAGATTAAAGCAAGAAGTTAAGAGAAAGCGGCCAGAATTAATGAAAACAAGAGGTGTGGTTTTCATGATGATAACCCCATACCCCGTAGCTCGGTGGCGTAGTGGATAAGCGCCGCGGCCCGCGATCGTAATCGTTAAGTAACTTTCGCAAGGGTCGGTCACGGGATGGGTGACCATAAAATTATTATCTCGAGCTACTCCGTGCTTCGGAAGGCACGTTAAGCCGTTGGTCCCGGCTGCATTTGCAGTCGTTAATACCCTCCAATCCGCATTGGGCCAGCGTGGAGGGTCATGGCCCATCCTCCTTAACCATCCATAAGGAAGGCCTGAGCCCCTGCAGTGGGGACGTAAAAGGGCTGGTGATGATGATGAACCCCATACATCATATTTTAAATTTGAATTGAGTATTAAAAAAAAACGTATTTTGCCACTCAACAAAAATTAAGAGAGTTTGATTGGGAGGTGTTAATGCATCCGCCGATAGTCCTGACCTTGCACTTTCAGATTTCCACTTGTTTTGATCTTTTTAGAATTCTTTAGGCAGTGTCAGTCTAATATCACACGAGGAATGCGAAAACCATTTGTCGCGGTTTTTTGATTAGAAGCCCCAAGATTTCTATAGCAATCATGCTCCTACCTACGAGATGGCAAAATATTATCTACATACTTTAATTAAATGTAAATAAACGTTAATAAAAAAATGCTATGAATTTTCACATAAAATCCGAAGAAACTTTTCCCCGACCTATTTTAAGTACATAGATATATTTTTATAGATTCTCTATTAAATCACTTGATATTTTGTTTCAGATGTTCCGATTTTACCGCACACTATTCCTACTCACAGTCTTATGCTGTATTATTTATTGTATTCAAGCAGGAATGGCAAAGTCAGCGCCCTTAAAGTGTCCCGACGACAAAATATCATTCAAGATCGGTTCTAGTGAAGTGTGCATTCCTAAAAATTACACAGCGCCACAGGAAAATTAGCTTTAAGGAAAACTAAATAGAGTTTTACATAATAATCTCTGTTCATACATATATTTTTAATATAACTCGTAATTTATAAGACATAGTTATTTTTTTACCATTAAAATACCTAATTAAGGATTTTCAAGTGTTTTAATTGGTTTTTTCCTAATAGTGATAATTTCTATACAGTATCTAATCATCTGTTTAATTACAGTTAAAGTATGTGGCAAGGCAACTCATTACATAAAGTGTGATGACTGATGGATGACTTTAATAGTTTTGTTAGTCATGTAGCTACTGCGTTTGAATGCTTAAGTACCTATCCCACCAAAAACATTCTATATAAAATAGCCAAGTCTCGATGGAGCTGCTTGTTTATCTCTAAAAAGTGAACTTACCAAGTGAAGTTCTATCATAATTATACGAAGCGCCTCGTTCGAAGAGATTAGTATTTATTTGATTAGATTATATTACTAGTAGTATCGCATATGTGTCACTACTCCGGCACTATAGTTGAGATTTCTTTGCATTTGCTTTTTTTTTTTTTTTTTTTATTACGAGGGTAGTTCTCATCTTCTTAGTCGATACCGTTCCCTGCCATCTTCATTAAGTTTAGAGATAGATCTGGTTTATTGATGTATTTCCGGAGAGCTTAGTATTGGGAATAATGTTCACAGGGTTGGGCGGGTTTACTAATCTCTTCGAACGAGGCGCTTCGTATAATTATGATAGAACTTCACTTGGTAAGTTCGTTTAATCATTAATTATACTTCGCGCCTCGTTCTCGAGATTAGTATTTATTTGATTAGATTATATTACTAGTAGACTTTGAGAGTGTTGAAAAATAGATTTAGGAAATATCATCAATAAATGACGATAACTTGCTTTTTATATATATAAGTATTTATTAATTATTAACAAAAAAAGAACATAAAGAGAATTGTTCAATTTTGGCTTTTGGTGGACAAGCTAATAAGTAAAAAATATGTAAACAGTAAATTATTATTAAAACTGAAAGAAAAATTATTTTTAATACTCTCGTCATGGGAAACTAAACATTAAAAATATCACATAAAAAAGTATTTTTTGGATTCGGATGTGTTTTGTTAACATATTTCACTGTGTTTCCATATCAATAAATGTTATTGAAGTACTATTACTAATAGTATCGATTAATCGATAAGTTTTAACTTTAATAAAAATAAAAGTAATTAAAGTATTTATATATTAATACATATACATTAGGTAATCTTTTGCAATATCATGTATCATATATATTAAAAACATAAGAAATAATCCTTTTCGGTTAGATATATAAGTTAATTTACACAAACCATCGATTACTTTTTAAACGATTAATAATTTTTATAGGGCAGCACCATTTCACTTTTGTCAACAAAGACATTTGAGTGATAATGATAATTCTTACGTTTTGATTTTGTTGTTACTTTCGACCAATTTATTTATTAACCTCTCGAAATGATGACCCGGCTATACCTATGGACACCAAACCAAGCTCAAGTAGAGGACATCGTCGGCAGCTTTGTATAAATTGTGGAAGATCTATATTACGTACTAGATCACATCTGCAAAAAATATCCGTCAAAGAAACACATTAGTAATATAATTATTAATTGGATATCCCCACGACAGGTAGGATTATAGTTATTTTTATTTATTTTGATTATTTTACCATAATTAAGCTTCCTTTATGACAAGTAAAACATTAATATATCGCTGCCATATCGTTTAAGTAACATTTTGTTGACAAATAATTTAATATTATATTATACTCTTTAGGTGTATGGCAGATCCATATCGCGTCTGTCATCTATGTTAGCAGCAAGCAGATATAATATTCCGGAACCTATATAGATCATTACCGGATTATAAAAGAGCACCTGATTCTCAAGTATATTGTTTTGTTCCTGGTTGCGACTCACCACAGCGACTGACCATTCCCACATGGTATCAGGTAAAATTGTTTATTATTTTTGCCTTATTATTGTAAAAATAGTGAAACTAGTTTGTGAGCTTTGTGCCTCTTATCCTTACTTATATTATAAACTAGAAAAATTTGATTGTTAGTTGAGCTTGTTAACAAACTTCGAAACTACAAGACTGATGTAAAAAAATCCTTTTACTTAAGGGAAGCTACATCTTTCATCAGGATGATATAGGCTACTATTTACATGTGCGAAGGCGTGGGAATACTGTACCTGTAGTTCAACATTTAATGTTAATTTATTTTTTAATAGTAATGTACAAATGTACTGGATAGGTGTTTTAAAATAGTTCTTTCTGTTAATAGACGCAGATGTAAATGTGAGTCTACAGCCACTCCAAGGCGAAAAGTTATTCTCGAGGGTGAGCACAAATTAGGAGAATAGTTGTGTTTGACTGCAAGCACACGTCATGAGAGGCCATGGAAGATTTAACGATAAGGACATCATGTGACCAACTTATATAAATGTAGCTGCTTTTTTGACCACCCGAATGCCAGCCTCCAGCTGAAGACAAACTGTATGAGCAGTGTAACTTATTTATTAAGTGATCATGTAAAGTCTATTCTTATAAATAAGTGTATTTAGAAGTACTGTCTTTTGCTTGTAGAATTGTATTGTCAAATTAAAGGTAAATATGTGTAAATCTACAATTTTTTTTATTTAACCATCTCTGCTTCTTATTTCTAACCTTAAGATATGAAATATTGAAAAATAATGTTTTTATAACTGTAGATAATGTCCACTCAAAGCCAAAGTGCCCATACAAACTGAACAATTCCTTTTGACATTTATTTCCATTCTAAATTATAGTATAGGTAGTAATTACGAAATTTTGATACACTGATTTATTTACTTAATGGTCAATAATTGATTGGGCTAATGATGTACAACCATGATTATGAATAGGCCTGTTGTAAAATCGTGCGAACACGGTAGAGTTGCCCCTCCAGCCCGCAGTATTACGGATCGCACTGACGGCTTTTTAGTACCTATAAACAGAGCATCAGATTTTCTTAAGGGAGTTTGTCTCATTAATATAACATAGTAGTGTTTTTGCTGGACACACATTTGGCCTACTGTTGAAAAATGGTAGATAAAGTATTGGTTGCTGACGACCTGGTTTTGAAGTATTAATAATTTGTGGTATTTTAATAACAACCTGACTGAGATATGTGTATGTTTTTGATTTCGATTTTTGACAACGTTTGCATTCTATGTGCTGTAGTTAATGCCAGTAAGGTTAATGTCTTTTTAGTCAATTGCTCTAACGTTAGGTCCTCATTTGGGAACCATTGGCTTATCTGATCTAAAACGCAATTCGTATCCCATGTAAAGTTATACTTTGGAAGGGGTGGTTGAAGACGAAACACACCCTTAAGAATCTCTGAACTCTGTCATCTTTACCTATGTGTGATCCTAATAAAAAAGATAAGGCAGATCTGCATGAATTCAATGTACCGAATTGACCACCATCGTTAAACAACACAGTAAGGAAGTAAATAACGGTAGGGACTGAAGCTGTAAATAAGTCAATGGAATTATTATTGCAAAAGGTCCACCATATTTTTTTTTTTTTTTTTTAAGAATACGTCATATTGACTGAGTGCATTAAGGATAATGATGCTAACATTATATCCAAGGAGGAAGTTGGTAAGCTCCTTCTTGATAACGCGTTCCTGGTAAGGTTGCTGCCACCAGGGTAATCGATTCGTGAATCCTTCGGGAATGTATTCAGTAGCGACGTCGTCCCTGTGTTTGAGACGGTGGCGGGCGGCGGTGGTGGCGGCGGCATCGGTTGCGGACGCGGCCACTGCCTTGGGGAGGTAATCTGCGCGGAAATGCAGGCTCGCGACTCCTCTGCGATGGGCCTGGTTGCCTGTACGCCGGCCCGGGAGCTTTCCGGTTTAACTGATTCTGATTAGATATTTTTTGCCGTTTACTTATATTTTTTGTAGAAGGGTCAGCCTTTAATTCGATTCCAGACTTGTTTATTGATTTTACTGTCATAAGAGTTTCAGTCAATGTTTCGCCGAATAAAAATGAATAGATCTTTTTTAATGAAAACATTATAAAGTTTCTTCTAGTAACTGAATCGCTATGTTGAATATCGCACAGTAAACGACTGCGGTCCATTAGCAAAAGCAGTTATTCTTTATCCTTTTCCTTAGAGTTAAGATGAGCAATAATTATTTCTCCAAGACAAGCAATAGCACTGGCCATTTTGCGTTTGTTTACCCTCTATGCCTTTGTCCCTCTTAAAGAGTATTTTCAAGTATGCCAGCCTTGATTTCAGGGTTAAGTTTTGGAGTACTAATAAGAGAGCAATTAGCAGCAATTGGGTACTTCGCTATCAGCTCCTTACGGATAACCTTATTAAGCCCCTCTATGGTAATATGAGTTAGTTGACAAGCGAGTTATGTCGGATATCATTACCGAGCTTCTCTAAGTGCGAAGGATCTTCGCCGAGAATTTAAAGGATATCGGTGTCCAGATCATTTTCGTTATGGACCCCTTCTTGGGGCCGTAACTCTGACTCGACAGGTGGTTCGTTAACGGTCGTCGCGTCGACACAGTCATCCTCAGTGTATAGTATAAGTTTTGAATGTCACTGATACCAATCATGGATTGTGGTTCATCGTCATAATGAGGTTGTTCTAATAACCAATCACTCGGCACCATAGGTGGGGTGGCAGAAAGATAAGAAAATCGTTTGAGATTTTCATTCATATTATAACTATGACGATCATAGTCATCCATAAAAGTATGCGACGAATCAACCCCAACGGCAGTTCAGGTGCATACTTTTTGTTTTAACGTAAATACGTTATAGTCTGATAGGTACGATATGTACAATAGCAGTTTTAGATAACGATAGTTATCTTGTCAAAGTTAGGTAGATCCCCAATGGATTGAACGCTAACTGATTTACTGAATGCGTTGAATAAGCCCCAATGACTTTTCTGATTGCATTCCGTACCCATAAATTCGGGCACAAGTCACTAACTGAACTTTCCTTATCACATATTTTTTGTTCTAATTTACGCATTTTCTTTTGAGGATGTTTTAACTCTTCTTCACATGTTCTAACTTTCATACGTTTCGGCATTTTAACGATCTGTTATACACGTTATTGGGAATACGACCGGAGCAGTCGGGCACTATAAAGCGAATGAAGATGGCAGGGAACGGTATCGACTAAGAAGATGAGAACTACCCTCGTAATAAAAAAAAAAAAAAAAAAGCAAATGCAAAGAAATCTCAACTATAGTGCCGGAGTAGTGACACATATGCGATACTACTAGTAATATAATCTAATCAAATAAATACTAATCTCGAGAACGAGGCGCGAAGTATAATTTCATTCATCTATCAGCCATGTTCATCACTTCGTTAGTTCAATTGTTGCCAAGATTTTTTTTAAAACGTGATCTTCGTCTTCGTGATCTATTAATGGTGAGAATTAATTTCTTTTGTGATGTTTTTAAATAACATCGCGTTTGGAAACACATTAACTGAATTGAACAAAGTATTTATTGCAAAATAAGTTATGTCGTGATGCAGCTATGGGAAACCCATTGGCATTACCTTAGCCCAGATGCAAAAGAACACGCTATAATTATTGTTATGGTAGCATCGACTTATTTGTTTATTGTGAAATGAAATACGCCAATATTTTAATTATTCAGCAGATTCTTCTTCTCAAATTATAGATATCTATGTAGAATAATGCGAGGTTCCATTTACACGGATTGCAATTTGTAATTAAAAAAGGAATGCAAGATATGTAACATCGTATGGTAGGGGAGACCGAGGAGATTTGAAACAAAGGTGAGTTGAAACAGTACCAATTTCTCGGAACTTAAAACCGTTAGCGGGTTAACAACTTCGCCTTATAACTATTTTTCTCCGCCCGTCGTGGTGGGAGCTCACGTCGGAGGTGTGCCTCGCGCGGTTGTGGAGTTCCGTCAGTCGTATGTCAAAAATCGTGAAAAGTAAGTTTTTTAGGCTTTGTTATGATGTTTATATTTTTATATAGGTTTTGTATAATTTAAGTTATATGTGTTTCGAAAACTCTTTAACTAAAGATTCATTGTATATGTTTGGTACAGTTGATTTCTGTGTATTTGCTTCTTCATTGTAAATTAAATAAAAATGAGAGGTTTTATTTCTACCGAGGAGATTTGAAACAGACTGTTTCAACTCTCCTCGGTCTCCTCTAGATAGATAACATGAGATATTGGAAAATGGCTGCAAAGCAGACAAATGCCACAGCATACATTTCACGAATGTTGCACACAGCGTGACGGGTAGTAACGCTCCTAATTAATGTCTATGATAACTTTATTTATTTATTTTGTTTTAGAATGCCAACTTATTATAAGAAAAAGACTGACAGGGGTATGGCAAGTCGCGAAATACATGATCTCGCAGCAGAAGAAGTAATTTTGCGCCAGAAAAGTCTCCGTGACGCGGTTTCGAGTTATAATCTGAACCATACATCTCTCTGCAGGTATATTAAAAAAAATGCTTATGGAGGCAACGAAACGGCAACTGCTCTTAAAGTTGGATATCCTGAAAAGACTGTTTTTACAGCTTCAGAGGAGAAGGCAATCTTTTAAACTGTGCTGCTGTTAACTTTCGCCTAAGAACTAAAGAAGCCAGAACTTTTGCCTATAAATTGGCTGTAAATATAATATATAAAAAATATAATAAAAAAATCCCTTCTGCTTGGACTGCTCATGAAATGGCTGGAAAGGTTTGGCTTCGATCATTTATGAAACGGCATCCTGTTCTTTCACTTAGACTACCTCAACCTACAACTATTGCTCGAGCCACATGTTTAGCAGATCAAAACAACTTTTTTTCCAAAATTACACTACAGGGTTACAAGGGAAGGATATATGGAAAGTTAATGAATCAGGTATCACAACAGTTCAGAAACCAGACCGCATCATTGTAATACTTAAGAAATTACTGAAAATTAATAACTATTGTATGTTAAAGATTGAGGAAGATCCTTTTTATTTAAGTTGAAGGTGTAATTAACTACTTTAAGAGTTAAATATATTTATGAGACCTCTAGTTACCTACTTGACTGATATATCAGTACAAAATCTTAATATAAAAAGTTGTTACATACTAAAAAAGTTTTATTTGAATAAATACCTTGAAATTATATCATCTTTTTTATTTTACATCCCTTAATATTTCTCAAAAATCATATGTTTCAACTCTCCTCGTCCCCTGTTTCATCTTATCTCGGTATAAGGAGAGTTGAAACAAATTGACTTGTTACGGTTAAGTTGATGTCTACCACAATATTTAACGTTTACAACTACTTTACGTTAGTCATTCGCAGGTGTAAATAATTACCTTTCTATTGGTACTAATATCATTCGATTTCTGTGTATAGTATTTGATGTATGAAATAAAATGTCAAAATTGTACCAACTCTTCTCGGTCTCCCCTAATAGTCTGCACGTGGTTTGGACAATGCCAATTGGAAATATGTTCAATATATGTATTGTTTAAATTGTTGTCAGATTACCACAATAAGTATATCAGATTTCCTAAATTAAATTCGAGCTCTATCTGAAGATAGAGCTATTAAAAGCAATAAGGTAAAATCAAATGGAGATTTATTTTATAATTTTGTATAACCTGACACACTGTACCAACAGATAGTTTACCTATAATATACAGTAGCATATTTCAATATGATATTATATATTTTTATCATATAATTTAGTCTGTCTCTACTTCAAAGATTTATATCTTTCATATAGGTATAATTCAATTAAAGAACAGTATTTGGAAAACAGGAATAAACCGAATATAAAATTTCATTAAATTACACAATGACATTATGTAATTTAATGAAATTAGTATAAAACTTCATCGACATGAATTGGACATGTTCATTGATTAATATAAACAGTGAAATTTTTTTTAAATATAATCCGCTATTCTCGATGAAAATTATTTATTTATTTAATAATATCTCTAGGGATATAAATAAATAAATATTAGACAACATCATATAAGTTGCTCAGACTCCTTGGTGAGTAGCTAAAGCACTCATTTTACATAATATTTGAAATAACGAACATAACACCTTCAACCGGGAAAATATAGAAAAGTAGGTTTTCTACATTGACACGACCAGGAAGACATGGAACCTCATAGATGGCGGCACAGGAACTTATGATATAGGTATACGTAGATACGTATTCATACTTTTTGTGTGCAAATTGTATTCAGAGAAAAAGAGGCTTACCATTAATATACACAATGAGCAGCACAGTAACACACACTCCATATGACTTCATATCCAATGTTTAACAAATTCACTACACACACTTAATTTATAAAAAAAGGTTCATCATAATTTTTTGTAATATTTTTTAAACAACATGCTTCATATTTTTCATATATGAAACATCGTTTATTCTAACAGACGAGCAACAAGGAGTCTTGGCTTGCTGTGTTACTTGAATCGGTGTAGGGGTTATGAATCAATTGCGCAATTCGATACAGATCTATACGACTAACAGCTGTATAAACATTCCTCTACCATACTTTGGAGTTCTCCATAATAAAAATAGGTAAGTAACACAAACTTTCTTTACAACTTAAAAAATATTAAGAAAGATTTCGATTTTTGATGTTAAAGAAATAAGGGTTTGTTTTAAATTAAATTTATGGTAAACCAGTCGGGCAGTTATGTTGTATTTGATCGTGTTATAACAGTTCCAAATGTATTCGTAAATATATTTAAAGTCGTATAGAGTTTGTCTACGCGATCGCGCCGTTAACTTCGACGTTTGTCATAAAGTCACTGAAACTTCATTGAATGCAATCATGTGCCTGTCCCCACTACTCACCGCGACCTTGCAGTTTATTATGGCTTACAGATTACAATTTACCATAGAATTACGACGACAACACTATAGTGAAAACGAACGATAATGATTCTATGTTAGACGCCCATGATTTCGCAACCCATGCGGGCTTGGGCTGGCCCGCAGTGGATGTTCAGAATTCTTTCCGTCATTTGAAAATGGTATTTTGAAACCATCCGTCCGATGCGACGGGTAATTTACGGATAAACGTTTACGGATGGAAGAGGAAATATTATCAACTAACTGCCAGGTTTAGACAATAAACTCTGTAATTTTGTTTACATTCATGTAGGTATGTCAGATTTGGCTCTAAGCGGTCTTTGGAGTTTTTATTACATTTGAGTTTTTATTACATTTTATAAATATCTTATAATAGACCATCAGTCACTGGTGTCTGAGACGTGATTCGAACCTGTCAGCAGCCACCCGGTAAGATAGTAGGTATGTAAAAATAAGTTTTTTTATGAGACAAAATAATTATTTTTAGATCATATGATTTTAAAATGTTCACAAACATCGATTTCTGTACATTTTAACTACTAATAATTATAATGTGGAAAGATTTATTATTAAAATATTACCTATTTATATTTTCAAATGCACTGCTACAGATATCTGCATGAATTATGTATGCTAAGTAAGTTTGTTAGAAATATTGTTGTGGCAAAGACATTCCCAAATAAATATAATAAGGAGTTCGCCGACGCAATGGTTAGCACGTTCAGTTTGCGATGCGGAAGTTAAGTAATTTTCGTAAGCGCCAGTCATAGGATGAGTGGCCAAAATCCTGTTATCTGGATCTCCTTCGTCTCATGATTCGGAAGGCACGTTAAGCCGTAAGTCCCGGCTGCATCTCCAGACGTTAGCGTTACTACTCTGCGATGGGATCATACACAATTCTTCCTATTCGATTCAAGTCTATCCATAGGGAAGGCCTATACCCCAGCAGTGGTAGGCTGATGATGTGAACTGAGTAAATATAGACATACACAACAACGATGCACTTACCTGTCCTTCCTGTCATGACCCACAAAAGCAATGTTATGTTAATACGATAACAGCGACGTATTGTTATGTAAATATAATACGTTACAACGTTACTAACAATTCGCGTGCATTTATTGTACCAAATATGTAACAATGTTACGAGATATGGAATTCTATTTTGCAGTAGCCAAGCTGGTACGAGTATCTATGTAATACG